GCACAAACTAAACTGCAGCACTGGCTCTCATGCACTTTGACACATCTCTTTCCAAATAAGCTGAACAAACTTGCACCTAGGATTAAATAGCTCTTTGCAACAAAGGAACATCCACAGAAAAGAAAGCAGGTATGCAGTAGTTCAAGAAAATTCTTTGACTGTATCCTTGTGCAGCAACACAGAGCTCAGTCCTTTATTTAAATTTGAACTAACACACTGACATGTTAGCAGCCCTTAAAAGCTTTAAAAATAAAACCCGTATACCACAGAGGTGCAGAAGGTTTGGATCTTTTTAGATGAAAGTCTCAGCTTCAAAAGAACTTCCAAATATACAGAACAAGGCCTGTTCTTTTTTCAGTGTCTTTACACAAAAGCGACACACGGCAACATGTGAAGACAGCTGTCAAAATTGCACTTCAAAGAGAAGGAATCTATTTTTCCCTACAATGTCAAATTGTGAGGAACCTATCTCTCCATCAGTCACTAATTGACAACTTATTTTGGGTTACATCATGCAACTTTACTATTAGCACATCATCGCCTCTTCGATGGCTACTACATTTGCTGATTTGATTTGTGAGCAGTTGAAAAAAAAAGAGGAATTTGTTGTGAAATATTGCTCTTGGTTGGGATCGGCTGAACATGGAGATCATTAGCTTCCAAATCTGCATTGTGTGAAATGTTTCCAGACGAAGTAAAAGTGTTAAATCTTTGACTTGGTCCTGTTGACTGGCTTGGCTACACAATTTGAATGTACTAAAAATGTTTTTGCCCAATCTGGTCAATGGAAAAAAGCAAACCTACAGTGCCTTGCAAAATTATTCATATTGCTTGAACCTTTCCGTATTCTATCACACGACAACCACAAACTTCACTGTGTTAATCTTTTATTTATGTGATTGACAAGCTGACGTAGAGGACAATGTGAAGAGGTACGAACATGTAACAGTTTAAAGGTAAAGGTAATTTTATTTACATCACACATTTTCAGCAAAAAGACAATACAAAGTGCTTTACAGGATTTGAAAGGAAATACAAACAAAATAGCAAACCAAAAGAAAGAGCAAGAGAAGAAATAGCTAATAACGTTGATCCAAAGAAAATAAACTAGATACTCCTATTCAGGGTGACTAGAGAAGTATAAGTACGTATCCTCTGGTCTAATTCCTTTTCTGGGTTGGGAGTTTAGGAGTCTAAAAAGTAGTTACTAAACTTGTTTTTCTGGGTTCCAAGTTCTACTCCCTGTTCTGGGTTGCTAAATAAGTGTAAGTAAGTAAGTATCCTTTGTACATCTGGGATGCTAGATAAATAGTAAGTATTCTCTGGACTTTAAAAGTGTGCTCTAAATTTGTAAAAGTAATGACAACTTCACAGTTTCTTTCTAATTCCTTTCCTGGGTTGCAATAATAAGAGTCTCTCTGTGTTATAGTGCGTACTCTACAGTTTCTAAAATACAAACTGTAGAGTACAACTGTAGAGTCTGGATTCCAAGTTTGTTCTAATTCCTTTTCTGGGTTAAAAGTGAGTACTCCACATTTTCTGACAAAATAAAATAAAATAAAAGGTGAGATGGGAAGGAGCATTATGTTTACATATCTTCAAGGAGATTGGAAATATGCAGCCCTTCTTAGGCAGCACAGGGAAAGCCAATTCAGATACAAAAGGTAGACTCATAGAGGTCTACCCGACCTAGACCTTTATAATCTACGTCGGGTAAATGATAAATTTCAATCTTCTCTAAAGTCTCTCCGGTATATCTCAGTTCCCAATTATCCAAATTTGTTTGGTTGTTCCACTGAGCTGAAATTAGTAACTTCTCCAAGATCGATTCCATTCTGTTAGTGGACTGCGAGTCTCAGCAAGACTCACATCCAACTTACGTCTCTGTCCACACCAACAGTCGCTTGTTCGGCCAAGTCTGTCACAAATTTAAACCAGGTATCTGGAAGTCGAGAAAATTTGATAAAGTGCATTGAGAGACCGGTTGACCAGAGCCATAATTTGTAAATTTGGAGGATGAGCAAAGAAAGGCTCCAAAAATATAGAAAAGACAGCACAAAAACAGAGCAAGCAGGGCAGGCAAATGCAGGGAGGGAACAGAGGAAAAAAGCGTATGCCTTCACCGAGAGCAAGCGAGGATGTTCTTCCAAATAAAAAGGTAATAAGCGCATGTATTCAGGCCCGTTAGTAAATTATTTGTAAACCTTTTCTCACTCCAGTTTAACAGGACACCTTTACGTTTGTCTCTACCATTATTGCACATCTAAAAACTAGGGCCAGGCAGGTAATGCATTTATTTTTTATTAATTCAAAGTTTTACACAGTGATTCACATTTTTATTACATATAATATGCTGGATAGAACCTTCAATAAATGATCTGATGGGATGCTGGTGAAGAGTTTTCTATTTACATTATGCAAAAAGAAGTTGGTCTATCAGTGAAGCTATTCAAGCCTAAAATACCATCTTAATGCAAAACATGTTGCAGCAAGCACAGATGCCCCCAACGGTACTATCAGTGTCCTCTGTTCACATTTCTTTTAAAGGTTTTTTTTTCTTGGCTCAGGCAGCCTAGTTAGACAGGAAAGTAGGTAGCGGAAGAGGCGGAAGACGTGCAGCGAAGGTCTTCTGGCTGAGACTTCAACCTTTGACGTCTGAATTGAGGATCAAGGCCTCCATGTGGATTGTGTTTTACCCTGCGCCACCACAGCAACTTCTCAGTTCACATTTCTGAACCAGTATTTTTTCAAGGAAGTTATATGAATGATGAGAGGTTGCTAAAACACTTGAAAGCTCAATGAGTATGGTAGCACTTTGTTCCAATTTGGTTGAGTAACCTGAAAAAAAGATTAAAACAATGTAGAGCTTGCATGTCTATTTATCCAATAATTTAGCAGCATTTTTCAATTGTTTTTGAATTGAGTATATGGTAATATGGGGCTGCACAGTGGCACAGCTTCTTGCTGCCTTGCCTTGCAGCAAGAAGGTCCTGAGTTTGATTCCCAGCCTGGGGTCTTTCTGCACAGAGTTTGCATGTTCTCCGTGTGCATGTGTGGGTTCTCTCCGGGTTCTCCTCCTATAGTCCAAAGACATGACTGTCAGGTTAATTAGTCTCTCTATATTCCCCCTAGGTGTGAGTGTGTGTGTGCATGGTTGTTTGTTCTGTTTGTCTCTGTGTTGCCCTGCGACAGACTGGTGGCGACCTGTCCAGGGTGAACCCCACCTCTTGCCCGGAACGTAGCTGGAGATAGGCACCAGCACCTCCCGAACAGAAAATGGATATATATATAATATATATATATATATATATATATATATATATATATATATATATATATATATATATATATATATATATATATATATATATATATATATATATATATATATATATATATATATATATATATATATATATATATATATATATATATATATATATATATATATATATATATATATATATATATATATATATATATATATATATATATATATATATATATATATATATATATATATATATATAAATAAAGAGACCCTGTTGAGACCTAATTTGTCACAGAAAAACATCATTTCATTTCCCTATTATCCAAAATTCTTTAGGTAAAATTTTTTTTTATTGAAGTTCATTATAAAACAACAAAATGTAAAACATTTCTATTGCGATGACAATTTAGAGATGGCAGTGTTTTATTATTTAGCCTAGCATAGGAAATAATACCCAAAAGAGTATTATTGATTCTCCTTCTTCTGATTCCCCAATTTGACATAAAAAATCTCATTGATACTTTTGTGTTCTGAATGTGTGAAATGAAGACTATTTCAGAAGCTTATGTGTTGGATAGATCACGATTGAGAAATTGTTCCTGAGATTTAAAAACTAGTAAGTCAGGTTCGTGGATGTTTGCAGCCAAGGATCTCTGCGACATTTACAACTAACTGTGTGGAAACCAAACCTTAGGAGGCAGCATATGTGTTCTGAGGTTTTCTGTAAGCTCTCAGACAGGAAACTAATAACATAAGGGGTATGATTCAAGAAAATTACGAAATGCGTTCAGAAATAATGATTAAAGTTTATAAAAGCACACGTGTGTGTTCCATTGATCTTGTATTAGGTAGCTGATACAATCAAGGTGAACAGGGTGTGATATTTTTAGGAAAAAAATCCAGGTCCCTTTAAGTCTGTAGAAGTTGCTGTGAAAAGGTGGCTTTTTATAGCCCAGACTGTCACTCCTGATTTTGCGCCGACTCTGACTGCCTGTCACTGTGACTTTGTGTCATGAGCTTTAATCTGAACCAAGTCATGAAATCAACTGTAGTATAGCCAACACTGCATTTATTCAACACAATAAAGAAGTTCCTTATGTTCTTGATGCCCAGATAATACCTATTAAAAAAATCTGTAAATGCTGATTGTCATTTTTATATCTGTAGAAATGGAAACTATAGGGCATCCTGCATTTAAAAGAAGGCAATCCATACAGCTGCTTAAAAATGCATTTTCTTTTCTTGTTCCAGATAAGAGCTCCAGCATAATGTCTAAAATATGAATGTCAATGTAAAATGTATGAGAGACAAATGAGAAAGGCCAGCTGAAGAGGAGGAAGTAGGAAGCAGAGCTGGAGCAAGCATCTTTCCAGATTGGGTTCAGGGATTTCTGCTAAATCGCAGCTGATCTGACACATACACACAAACATATAAATACACCCGTTCTAAGCTTTCTCAGCCTTGATTTGACCTACATAGAGTACTTGCCCTGGGATCAGTCACTCACTGTAAAATGTAATGATACAATAATCCAAAGAGCAAGAAGGGAGACTCTCTAGGATCTTTTTTGTGTTTGTTAAAAGTGATCGTCTTGGGTACTAAAGAGGAATGTTGAACATACATTATTGACAGACAGAATGACAACTTGTCCTTTCAGCTCTGCATGCATGCCTTGCTCCTTTTCTTTCTCCTTTGCTGACCTCTGCTTTTTTCCTTCGTCCTTCTGCAGGAGTGAGACCGTGCTGCATCAGTTTTGCTGCCCCGCCCCTGAACATCCGGAGGCCGATACCTCAGGATCATCAAGGTGAGGTCAGCTGAGGAGGACAATTGCTAATTCTCTAATGTGCGTAGTTGGGTTGATGACATCACAAAAGGCACACGATCACCTGACATTTTTAAGTATTGCAGCAGAAGTGCTGTTTTTAAAGTATTTTGACATTGATTTTGAAGCATTTAAGTTGCACAAGTTTAAGGTTTTTTCATTTTTATGTGCCTGAGTTAGAGTTTGACTCTTATGGATACAAAGCCATGATGGTTACTGGCCTGAACGATGAAGCTGACTGTCTACAGAGCTTAAGTTTTTTATCATATTTAAAATTTTCTTCCTGGAGGTTTTTGTATGCAATCGCCACTTTAATGCTATATTCATATGGGATCGCTTTAAATTGTTACGTGATTTGCCAATGCATTGGCACCTTATGCTGTCTGAATTCAAACTGATTTTGCTTATCTAAACAAACTTCTCTCTTTCTTACATTTTCTCTGTGGTCTTAATTCAGTTCATAGTAATAGCATGGGCTGTACTGCAGGTTCATGCATGCTGGGGTTAACTGACAGGATTGTGCCCAGGCAAATCTGTTTGGGATTATTTTTGGTAGAAGTAGTAGCTTATGCAATAACTTCAGAAAACATCGTTAGGATTTGAAAATAGGATTGTAATACATTGACAATACCATATGGTTTTAATAGCAACTTGATTTAAAATGATTGCTGAAGGTGTTTGAAAATAGCAGCTCAGGTTTTGTCCTTTTCCCAAACCACATCAATATGGATGCTGTCAATTTTTTTTCTGAATTCCACGATGAATTCACACTTACCGATAAAAGTTTATTCAAGGTATGCAATGAAAAAAAGGGGAAAAAGAAGCAAACAAAATAAATGTCAGTTTCTCTTGCATTTTTGCCAACAAAATAGCATAAAAGTAGACACAAGATTTATAAAATGTAGATTTACAGATGATAAACTATATCCAAAGTGAGTGAGTGATTCTGCAGAAAAGTCTGCCAAATACTTTCAATGAACCTTTTTAGCAACTGAGTAATCAAGTCACATCAACAGTTAAAACTTTTAATCATTCCTGATGGGAACTGTGTAGCGCTGAACTGGTCCATATGTCAGTGCAAAGTGGTGTAATTTTGAGGGTTAGCAGTACATCTACATGGCTGAATGTGTAGCAAACTTATAGCTTCACCGTCTTCAAGAGCAACTCACAAAAAGACAACAGAAGAGGAGGTGGTATGATGTATGAAATTATATTGCTGCTATCAAAGCAACCATGGCAACCCTGAAGTGATGCAACAGTTATCTCTACCATAGTTACTGGAGCATCTCCAGTAGCCATTTTAACAGCATGTTTCTGAGTGGGCTTTGCAGGAAAAGTGTGAATGTGTAAACTTTCATTTAAAGGCTTGAATAAGCGCCTTTCTTCTTCTTTGCTTTGCTTCATCTTCATATATAGTTGTTTATTCTCTCTCTCTTGTTTTTATCTTTTTTTGCCTGCTTTTTTGGAAGACCACGTCTTGTGCAATCATTGCATCGCAATTATTTCCACCTCATCCCACCCCATTAAGTTCATTTCTTTCCTCAATATCACCATCTGTCTGTCTTTCTGGAATCCCTCTATTTTCTGTAAAGATATAACAACTTAACTCCTCCACTCACATGGTCCTGATTGGATGGGGAAATGACAGAGGCAGCTGGCGCTCGGCTGAGATGAGACTGGTGTGGATCTCTAATGCCAATACAGTTCTTTATTATCAACAGTCTCATTATCATCATCATCAGATGAACGCTGTGTGTTGGTTACAATCCTTCACCGTCTCTACAGTTGCTACACACTCTAAAGCCATCAGTGCACACTCACCTCCCAAGAGATGCCATGAGATCTACCTCTAGCTTAACCTGCCATACCCTTCTCTCTTCCAACCTATAAGTGTGTGGGTGTGCATCACCCCCTGGGTGTGTAGGGCTTTAAATGATACAATTTGACAAAGGTTTTTCTATCTCGCCCCCTGATGACGCCTGTGCTGCCATGTGTACTCTCTGTGTTTGTTGCTGCATATAATTTGCTGGAGAAAGTGCGCACAGTGCCCCTATCATCGCCAAGACTCTTGCCTGGCCAGATGCATTAATAGCTCAGGTCTTGCTTTAAAACCCTCTAATGTATTCTAATGTACTCTAAAGTATTCTGATGCAGCGCTGGGGCATGGCAGTGTTTTAATAGACTTTTTGATAGAGACAGCCTCCAGCGTGCACACACCAATAGCCAGCCTGTAACTATCTTGCTGTTTCTGACTTTTCTGTAGTTATCTCACTTTCTGCTCTCCTCTTTCTGGCTCTTTTCGCTGACTCTATCTCAGAGGATACAGTCAACTTAGCCTCTTCGGCCCTGTCTCCAACTTTCAGTGAGAGACACTGCAGTATACTTCATTTCACAGCAATCAGAGGAAACAAAGAGGGACTTAAGTGATGCACTCATTATTTAAGCATGAGCTGGCTTTTAATTCTCCCCTGTTGTTTTTAGCTCTGGTTCCATTCGTGTAAAAATGATCGGAGTAAGCAGTATCCGGCCAGCACGGAGATTCCACACGCATCACATTCACGCTTGTGAGTGCATACAATCCTAAAGCCTTCAGGGTATGATCATAAATCTGTCCATTCCAGAGCTGTTTTGTGCTGAAAGTTAGTTTTTCATCCCATTCCTATGTAGAAAGAAGTTTGCAAAGATGAAAGGGATCCTTGTGTGTGAGAACATCTGGATTACTGGAAGGCCTAAAAGAATTAGGGTTTTTGCTGTGTTATGCTGGCAAATTACTTAAACCCTACATGACTTTTCGCAGAATTTTGATAATGCTACCATGTAAAAGAATGTTGTACCATCTGTGTCTGGGATTAAAAATGGCTGACCTCAGGGAGCAGCCTACTCCACCCTTGACACTGCTGGGTTCTGAAGCTAAATTTAAACTCTGATGTGATATTTGTGATTGTGTTCCACATCTGCTTTTCACTATTGAGATGAGCAGTTATACTGTACTAACCATTTCAGATTTTGTCAAGTCACAAGCAACAAGCAACAGGGATTTCTTTTGTGATACATCAAGCTTTATTGTGCAGTGAAGAAAAAGGAAACATGTTTTTTGTTAATTTTATAAATATAAATCTGAAAAGTTTGGTGTGCCTCGCTGAGCCCATACTTTGTGAAACGACCTTCTTCTTAAACTAGAGCTAAAAATGTTTTGGCACTTCTTTCTGCTTTGCAAAATAACTAAAGTTCAGTCAGATTGGATTGAACATGTTTAATAGCATATACTGTATATTTTATAAGTTTTCAAGTGGGTTTTTGTTTGCACTTTGGATAATATATAATGGAGTCCAAAATTATATACCGAGCAAATTTTAAGTGTGATTTTCTAATTGTGCCAACATGTTTCTTGTCCTTGGAAGTAATAGTAACATTTTAGAATGGCTCACACAGGGTCTTGATGTAAATGTGAGAAAGACTGTAAGATTAAAGTGGTGGTATAGAGGCATTCCAGCCTTAAAGACTTAGAGTTCATCATCACAGATAACTTGTAAGATACCAGTTGAAAATGCTAAAACAATTTTGAATAATTTGATGGCTGTTATGCCAGTGAATATTTTTTCATTGACTGATTAGAAAAGTATAATTTTTGACATGTCATGTATTTTTCAAATAATAACTTCAATAAAATGTACATTTGATTCTTTATTAGCTGATTGTATTTTTAGAAGATGTTTGTTACATTTCCTTTCAAAAATAAACTTCTTAGTTAAATGAAAATACCTCTTAATCCATATCTGACAGTGATCATATCCCTTAAATTAAAAATTTTCTTTTTAGATCTCATTGTATGTTTAGGGTTGCTGTTATGGAAGGTGAGTTTCTGCCTCTGTCATAAATTTTAAAAATAGGTTTATAATTGGTTTTCTTCTACAATTACGCTGGTTTCATTGTTTTTATCTTCCCTTCAATTTTGATCTGCTTTTGTCTCATTGCTTAAGACAAACATAAGACAACATCATCAGACAGCATCATGCTGCCACCTCCATCTTTCACTATCATAAAATCTATGTAATATATGACAAATATTGAGAAAATGTAAATTTTATAAGTACCCCACAAAATCAGCTGGATCTCTTTTTGGTGTGTGTTTTCAACTTCATGTAGTTCAGTTTAGCAGATGTGGAAATCTTGGCATGAACAGACGTTCAATTTGTAAGGTCGCTTTGAAGTAGGCAGGTGGTACTGGTGTATTCTTGTAATATTCTTGGTATGTATGAATGTTCTCTATTCTGGATCACTCTGGGTTGCTGAATTCAAAGTGTCATGAATATGAAGTCCCCCGTATCGGTGGAGTCAGATTAAGGTTTCCCCTAACTTGTTCTCTGAGTCACGCCTGACTGTATTGGCATGGCATTCCTGTTTGCAGTATTTTTGAAAGCTTAATTCCAACAGCGCAACACGGGAAAAAGCCTCCCCAATAATCTTTTTATTTCCACGTAGCACATAGAGAACGAAATGCTCAGCCAATAATGTCATTGCTATGGAAACACATTAGCTTTCAGAGGATCATACATAAATTTAGCCTCGATCTTAATAGTAAAAACAGAGAGTGGAGCAAGGCTGGTGTGGAAACATCGCAAAAGAAAAGAAATTCACATATGAGTGGAAAGTCTTAGCTATGAGTTATTTGTTTGAATGTCTTATATAAGTTAGAGTAAAACTTTCTATTTGATTCAGTAGTGGTGCAGACACTTTCTGGATTCTTCTGGCATAATATCAGTACTAAATAAAAGAGATCAAATCCTTTGGCGTAAGAATATTGTAGGAAAAACACAAGTTACAATTTACACGTCTTTATTGCAGCAATACGCTGCATAAGGCTTTTCTTTTTGAAAACTCTCTTGAGCCACAGCATCTAAGCTTTTACGTCACTTTGGCCATAGCCAAAAATATACACAGAAACATAAAAAATAAAAAAAAAAAAAACACTGGAGGGTTTCACTGCTAAATATGATATTTCTATTTGTGGATGGCAGTCTCACTGGATAAAGATGGGAACCTTTGTCCAGCTGTTGAAGGAGAGCATGAGGCAAGCCCATGAAAATTTTAAAAGAGCTCTGTAAGTTAATGTTTACGCAGCACACCCCTGTTCCAAAAACATTCAACACAACAGAGTTGATTCATCAGTGTGTGAATGTGAGTTTTACTGTTATGAACAATAGTACAGCAATACATTAATGATCTGCTTTAAAGTATTGGGGTGCTGTATTGCTACATACTTTCAAGACCACTTATGACTTCTGGTATTGCTCACCATCCCCAAAACCAAAACATTGCATCCTGGGCTGCACAGTGGCTCAGTTCTGCATACAGTTCTTCCTGTGCATGCGTGGGTTCTCTCTGAGTACTCCGGCTTCCTCCCACCCATCAGGCAAATTGGTCTCTCTAAATTCTCCCTAGGTTTGAGTGTGTGCGTGCATGGTTGTTTGCGCTGTCTGTCTCTGTGTTGCCCTGCGACAGACTGGCGACCTGTTCAGGGTGTGCCCCGCCGCTCGCCTGCAACGTTAACTGGAGACAGGCAGCACCCCTCCTGATCCCACTAGGTACAAAGGGTGTAAGGAATATGGATGGATAGATGGAAATATTGCATCCTCCCTCCCCCCCACCACCACACACTCAAAATTTCAATATACTACTGCACCCATAAATGAATTTATTTCATTAGATTTAAAGCATTTACACGTTCTTGTGCAAAAAGCCTGGAAAAAGTTTGTGTGCCAAAAGCCTGGGTAGGTACTTTAGTTTATCAATTAACATCTCTTAGACATAATTTTAAAAATTTGATGTAATGATATTGCCTTTGAATCTGGACTCTATATGCTGTCAGCTTTTTTGTATTCAGCCGGTGCCTGCAACTTGCAATGGAGCCACAACTCTGACCAAATAAGAGTGGACATGGAAAGTCAGTCATCTGCCCCTCAGGCCATTACAGTCCACATTCTACCTAATTTATGAATCTCTTCCCACTCCACAGAGCTGAAGGCCAGGCCTCTGTAAAGAGTGAATATATTTGGTCGTAGGGGAGGAACTGAAATCTCTCTGCTCTTATTTCCCTTGCAGCGGACAGATCCTGAGCCTGGAGGATGGGACGTCCTCTGGTGGAGGACATGAAGTGAAGGGGCTGAAGAGGGAGGGACCCAGCGAGTACGAGATCAATTTGGAGAACAAAAACAAACAGGTATGCCTTTTCTCTAGTGGATCAATATGCTCAATCACAGGGTTTGGAGGAAAAACTGCTGGCAGCTCTACCTTGTTTAACATGAGCAGGTGTGCGTGCGTGCACGTGCGTGTGTGTGTGTGGGTGTGTGTGTGTGTGTGTGTGTGCGAGAGAGAGAGAGAGAGAGAGAGAGAGAGAGATTTCCTGACAAAAAAGATTCCTATTTAGATCTATTTCCGTCTCTGTTGACATAAAAAAGAACACCCAGGATACTGAGTGCCACAGCGACAGGAACAGAGGAAAGGGAGATGCTAGGTTGTCATGGTAACAGCTAATAACTGCTCGTGGTGGCTGAAGATGTCTTTATTCCTCATAGCAAGCAACTGAAGGGTCTGCTGTTGCATCTTGCTGTGCTGCTGCGGTGCTTGAGTGCATGTATCCACTCTTGGTGTGACCAGACACACAGCAGACATATTGTGAGGTTTCCCTGTTTTTTTTCCTGCCTCACCTGCTTCCTGCTCCTCTGGAAATGTTAGAGGTGAAGTTCTGACAACTTGTAAGATTTTTGGGTGGAGCTGCAAACAAATAGGCGTACTTTTCTCCCCCATTCAACTCATTGTATCACGGTCCATCTCTATATCCTTACTATGAAGTATATGCAGTAGGATGATGATTCCATAAGCCCTACACCACTTCAATTAGAGCCAACATATAATTGAGAAGGAAACCTCTGTGAACAGTGTGAGTGTGTATTTCAGGGCTCCTCTTGGCTCTTTTGATCTCATCGAAAAAGGCAGTGTGTTTGATTGCCAATGAATCATTAAAACATGTTTCAGTGGGTTTATCACTCTTGCAATGTTTTTCAATGATTCTCTAAGAAATTTAAAGGTGTTTGATGTGTTCACTCCCACTCACCGCCTTCCTGTGCCCTTAGATAGAGGAGCTAGAGCAGAAATATGGAGGCCATTTGATCGCAAGACGGGCAGCGCGCCGCATCCAGACGGCCTTCCGCCAGTACCAGCTCAGCAAGAACTTCCAGAAGATCCGCAATTCGCTGTCAGAGAGCAAGCTGCCTCGCCGCATCTCCCTGCGCCATCCCAGCCCTTCATCCCGGAGCAGGAATGCGGCCCAGAGACACAGCTACACTCTGCATCCTGGAGGTGGACAGATTCCCTTACGTTCAAAAACTCCTCCTCCACCTCCATGTCGCTCCACATCTCTTCCCCCGTCACCAGCGTCAGCCCCAGCAAACGCCCCATCATCAGCTCCAAGTCAGGCTCCATCTCAGACATCCGGTCCTACACTCACACAGCTGGAAGATTGCTTCTCTGAACAGGTCAGTGTACTTTATTGAGATAAAAACAAGATCTTAAACTTATGGAAATTACCAAATGCCAGAGGAAGAAAGAATCTCAGAAACTTGAAAATATTTCAACAGGAACGTAATGGAGGAAAATGAAAGAATGAAACATACCTCTGACTCAGAAAAAAAATCTATTAAAATAAGCAAACCGTTTTGTTAAAATTTGCAGTGTGTTGAAATCTACCTAGTCAATCAATATATTTGAATGTATAGAATCTTATTCTTTCTCTGGGTGTGATCCCTTCTGCAAAACATGGTGTTTCACCATCCTTGCTTGGTGTTGAAAGTTTCAGGAGCACACTAGGATCTGTTCTTTGGAATTCATACAGTGTTTTTCACACTCAAAAGCTGAACTGTAGGTGGTTCACTGAATCACCGGGAGTCTTTAACACAAATCCAACCTATTTGATTGGTTGGATTTGGATTTACCAGAGACAGTTTGTGGTAAATGTTTACCTTTTGCTCCAAAGTTTATATGTCATGTGCCATGATGATAATGACTTTACATTGCGCGTCTTATGTGCAGCAATTCACCCTGAGCTAAGAGAGTGGGTCTTGATTTTACATATTTCAAACATTTATTGTGTTTTGTACACGAGAGTTCTAGTGTGCTTAAAGATGGATTAAAATCTGAAAATGTAAAATAATGTCAAGTTTATCAAGCCACAAATTACCCTTTACTAAACCAGGAGCCTTGCTGATATAATAGCATGTTCAGCACTGGGTATACAGCCTGACATGCCTTACAGTAGTCATTAATTATCAGCCTGAACTTATGAACTTTTCTGTAGTTCAACACAGACAACCTCACACAGAATTGGTGATTTAATGTGCGTTTTTCTTATTACTGCCCTTGCAGCTTCACTCCTTGGCTCAGTCCATCGATGATGCTCTTCGTGGTTGGAGCCTGTCAGAGGGAGGAGAGGGGAAGGGACTTCTGATGGACCCCGGGGCCCTTCGTGCAGCTGCAGAAAGTGCCGGCCTGCCCCGCAGCGCCAGTTCCCTGCTTATGGCTTTCAGGGATGTAACTGTTCACATAGACAGCAATAGCTCCTATACCATCTCATCCGCGACCACCACAACCACCACCTCTCTGGGAAATGCGAATGGAGGAGAACCAGGCAGCAGGAAGCCCTCCGTTTCTGGGACAGGCGGAGGAGGGGATGGGCAATCGATGGAGGAACCCGAGTTTCCCGCCCCTCCGCCCAGCGAGGAGCTGGAAATGGTCGATCCGGGATCTAGGAGGGGGTCTGCAGCACCAGCTGCAGCAGGGGTTGGGTTGGAGAGGGAAAACAGCTCAGACAGACTGGAGTCCTCCACTTCCACCTCTACCTCCACGTCAATCTCCACCTCAGTGCAGTCTAATCAGCAACCTGCTCAAATTTACACACAGTACCAGCAGTATCACTACACTCATCCACAGCAGGTCCCTGGGGGTCCGAGTCCGGATTCCCTGCAGGCCCTTGTTGTCTCTCTGCCAAGGGACCGCTGCCAGGATCCAGCCTCCTGTCGCTCCCCAACCCTGTCCACCGACACACATCGCAAACGCCTCTACAGGATCGGACTCAACCTGTTCAACGTGTGAGTGGGCTGACAGTTCATATAAAGCTCTGTGACAAAATAAAAACATGTTAAATATTTCCCCATCCTCTGGCTTTGACTTCAAAGCCCTGATGTTTGTTTTGAACAAACTCCCAACAACCTTTTAAAATACTTATGAACAGCAGCTTATTATTATTGCTTGTAATTACCGAGGGGAAGCGTCTGTTTGGTCGCATCTTCTGATTGTGGGATGTCCATAAAAAAAATTAAAAAACATCCAGGAGGAGGATGGGGATGAAAAGTGGAGTGCAAAATGCAGCAGAATACTAGAGGCAGTGGAGGAGGCCACGAACAATGCTAGAGCTGCTCTGGTTCTAAAAATAGATTCTATGGTGGGCCTTCATTTAATATTAGTTAATACAAATTAAAGTAAATGAACTCAGTGACAGGCGAGCTGATCTCAAAGTCATGAGCTAACAGCTTTTCTGCATGAGTGCATGCTTCTTTTCCCAGTTTGTACTCCCTTCTACTCACACTCTCTAACACTTACACTCACACATATTAAGCTCATTTACTCCCAAATACAGTGAAACACAACTCCTGTCTCACCCACACACAAACACCCACACAACCCTACATATGTACACTTGAAAGCCCAATACGACAACACACAATGCTAATTCTAACACTCTTCTGCTTCTCTGGTTTTGGTGGTGCCAGGAACCCCGAGAGGGGCATCCACTTCCTGATCACACGTGGTTTTGTCCCGGACACGGCTATAGGTGTGGCACACTTCCTTCTGCAGAGGAAGGGTCTCAGTCGACAGATGATTGGAGAGTTCCTGGGCAACAGCAAACTGCAATTCAACAGGGATGTCCTTGAGTAAGTGCACTGTAGTCAATTAAAGTTCATGGTGCATAGAGAGACATGCATTGTGCCTTGCAACAGCATTCAGACACCAACAAAAACAAATCTGGAAAGTGTTTGTGCTTCGGCATTGCACAAAGCCGTGCTCAATATACCATTATGGCACAACTGCAATTCTACCAAAACATGGTCATCCACCTGAACTGAGAGAAGAACACAAGATGCCAATTTTAAACCTACACCTACAGCTATTCACTGCTCAAGTGGACAAATTTGTAGATAGGATGCCAATTTGATGGGCACTCCATAAAACTATGTGGTGATTGTGGCAGGGCTGCAAGAAAAACTAGAATTGCAGTCAGCCTGCAAAAAAAAAACTTGGTTGTTTCAATGTCAGTTAAAGCAGATGAAAATATAATTAAACTCTTAGTTCTTTAAAAATCCAGGTTTAACTTGAAACATCAGTAATTTTAATCTGTAGACCCAGTTTTTTATTTTTTTTACTTTCCCTCATTGTTCCACCTGCAGTGTACTCTGTTTTTGTATGTTTGTCATGTAAAGCTCTTTAAATAGTCTCCTTGCTGAAAATGTGTTATGCAAATAAAGCTGCCTTGAACAGGAACAAAGCTGTGGACATAACATTACACAAGAAACTGACAAGAGATGATTGAAAACTGGCTACCTGTACGCATGTGAGATGGTTACAGAATACAATGATTTGGATTCTAACTCGAAATTGGCTGCAGCTGAAAGAAAAGGAGGAAACTCAGATTAACTGAGGACCGATCATTCAATTAAATGAGTGAATAAACACAATTACCAAACAGTACAGGAGTAACCTAAAGCATGTCTAGGGGATGATGCTAAAATTGACCTTAAACAAAGACAGAAATAAAAAGACAAGCTCATAAAATAGAGCAAAATAATACAAGAAGTTGGACTCTCACTCCTAACCAAACCTGGACAATACAATGTCTTAAAGTACAGAGTGAAACCATACATAATTAAAGAAAAGTCCTAAGAAAAAACGTTTTTTTTCTTAGGACTGCAAAACAGGTGGTTTACCTTCCAGAAGGAGAATTACCCTGAACACACAGCAAACACTACCCTGGAATAGTTTAGATTAAATCATCTGATAAGAATGGTTTATTCCAATCAGATGATTATGTCCAAGTTGAATTCATTATATAAAGAACACAAAAAATGAAAACCATGAATTTTTGTATTGTGTAATTTCCACTTCAAAATTAAGTACTGAACTACTACCTAAAACAGAAAAAACAAAGCTATGTTTTCAAATGTAAAATGAAAAAGTTAAAAGATAAATACTTTTACAAGACAGTGCAAATGATTTTAAACTGAATTTAGTTTGAAAAAAGGGGGGAGTGGTGAGAGGGGCTAAAGGTTGATCCAGCTGTATTTTGGATCCTCAGTGATTGTGGGCTAATCTGGGAGACAACAGTAGATAAAATTCATCCCACCTTCCGGCTCCTTCAAAGTAGTTCTGGCTTTTACTTCAAGGGTAAAGGCAGATTTTATCCGTTTTATTTCTTGTCTGGGCTTAAAGTTCAAAGATAAAAGATTCATTAAGATATTTGTGTCTCTGGGACTTTGATTGATTAAGCAATGCAAGGAATTATGAAAATGTCGTCTACAGATTCACATGTAGCAAACAGGGTTCTGCTGATGTGTGGCACATCTGTAAATGCCTGTTGTTACTTAGTGGTTGCTCACCCATCCAATCAGTGTTCAGAGATCCAGGATGGAGGGGCTTTTTGCTGAGGTTGTTGTAGAGATTACAGAAATAGGTCACTGCATTGAACACACTCATAAGTACTCAGCCTCACTTTTCGTTCACTGAGTCAAACAGACATATGTGATATGCAGAAGCTCACTAATGTACACTTGGAGTTTCTAGTATGTACTACTGCTATCTCCATAGCCTGCCTTCAGCCTTTCATGTGCCTCCCTTTTGCCCCCTCTCCTTTTGAATTTCTTTATTTTTCTTCCTTGTACTTATCTCAAGCTGTCACCTGAAACTTTTCTCTGCATTATATTTGTGTGTGTTGACATGTGCATCTTCCAGGTCAGAAGATCTGTAATTGAAATATGACTCTAAAGAGAGAGACTTAGAATCAGCTCTGACACACAGCTTGCTGTGAATTCAAAACACTTCTTTGACTGACAACAACTAAACCCAGCCTCCTTCTGCTTTCCTCTCGATAGCTGTGTGGTGGATGAGATGGATTTCTCAGGGATGGAACTTGATGAAGCACTGAGAAAGTTCCAGGCTCACGTTCGAGTTCAAGGAGAAGCACAGAAGGTGGAGAGGCTCATCGAAGCCTTCAGGTAAGAGCCGTCAATCGCTGTCGCAGTCAGGGTTCTCGTACAAACAAGTTGTGCTTTTGTAAATTGATGCAAAGTTAAACACGTGACTGAGAGGGGCTTTTTAAGGGCTCTCTGAGCTCCACATAATGAGTCAACTTTGTGCCTGCAGCAGCATATGCAGAACAAGAAAGCAGCGACATGTAACACAGCTCGCATATTTTGCAATATTGCGTGCAGCCTTGAGGGTGCCTTGAGTATCCAGAGTGACAAACTAATAGGCCAACTGCTTAGACTTACAAAGTACTTAACTAGTTCTGCTGTCTCATTACGGCAAGCTCTGATGACACCAAAGCAGCGTATCATTAGCAAATTACAATGATTGCCTGTAACCTTTGACTAAACGCGGCAGTGTTTTCTGATTGTAAGCCAATCACAACAGAGACTTGCACTGCAGGCAATCAGAGTGTGTGTTCCATCAGGACAAAAATAGATGCTTTGTTTTATCAACTTTCTCTCCTGAAACACACCTCCGGTCCAAATCCTAATTTTAACCAGATTCTTTTAAATACTGCATGTTTATAAAGTTTTTATCATGCTGTCTTGCAGATATCGCTTTTTGGGACTTTATATTATAGACCAACACAAACTACTTGATATTTGTATACCATTTGTATTCTTCTCACCTGAATGGAGCATTTTATGATGCCATTTCAGCTGTAGGTCTTCACTTTGCCATCCTAAAGAAAGAGCATGTTTTGACCCAAACCATTCCAGTTTAGCCCTGGCTGTATCATTAGGATTTTTATGATGCTGTTTGTTTACCTTCGTTCTCTATCAAACCTATAAAAATTTTCTGAACAGCTGGATTTATATTCGGCTCCTTTGTATCAGAAAAACATGGAATTACAAAATTGTTGCAGAATTTGCTCACCCTTTTTATCAGTTTAGCTTAATGAGCACTAAATATACTACTACAACGGTAGTGAATGTCAGTCATACAGACCAAAATATTAATGGGAGTATTTGCATAAATGGCACTAGGACAAAATCCTACTAAATATTCCATCTAATCAGTTGTATCAGAAAGAATCTCAGTGAACTAAATGGAAGTTTGAGGTGAAAAGTTAACAAGGTGTCAATACATTAGCAGGATATTATAGAGCAAGTAGGTTGTATTTTCTCAGTTTGGCTTTTTGCTTTTTTTCATCACTTTTGACTCTGGCCCGGCAGTGCCGAAGAAAACCCCAACAAAATCAACAAAGGTGATTTAGAGATGAACATCAGAGACCTACACCATATCGTCCTCCCGTTTTTTTCTTCCTTTGAACCGTCCAGTTTTACCTTTAACAAAACCCCTGGGTGGAAAGATTTTTTTTTTTTTTTATGTCTGCGTACCTTTTAGCCAGAAAATAATTTGAGGGAAAAACAGATAAGCAGAAGCTGCAATTGGCGCTACATCCCCTGGCTTCAACTGTCCTTGAAGCGTTCCTGCGATATCCAAATACTATCCTCAGGACTGAAAATGCAATAGAAAGCTGGTTGTTGTTTTCTCTTGCAGAGTAATAGCTTAGTTTTGCTGAGAAAATTTAATGTGTCTCTGCTGATGTGCTGCTGTTTTCCCTCAGGAATATGTCAAAAACGTGACATGACTTGAGTCATTGCTCCTTTGAACTCAGTAACTAAGATGTCCTTTTACAGGACAGAGGCATATGATCACCATCACAGCTGCCCTGCCCTTTAGTAGACTGCCTACACCTGTCTGCATCACTTATGTGTTATGTTTACAGTTTACTTTACAGTTTTTTTTTCTTTTTGCTGATTCAAACTTCTTACTATCACATATTCCAACTTTAAGAGTCTAATGCCGTGTGCTTTTTATGTTTATCAGCATGTACATCCATGTAATGAGAGTACTGGCATGATTTTTTGCATAATGATTTTTTATCAAGTTACCAGCTTAGTTTGTACAAACAGTTCTAAAATAATACAAACAACAGATGGAGCAGCTGGTAAATATCACACTAACTTTACAGATATCTATTTGCCTGAGAATCAGAAAACCTACAGTTTTAGCATCTACTCAACATTCTCTGTTTTCAAGTCAATTATAACTATTTGACAATTTAGATGGAGGTAGGATAGGCTGACATAGCATGACCTTTAAGTCTATTGCTTTTTTAAAAAACTATAAATTGATGCTATTGGCTCTAAGGGCAATATTGTGAACATGTATTGAAGGAGTTTTTTTTTTGTTATTCGCTTTTTCACACTTAAATGTTTCTGACAACTAATTCAATTTTAACAATAATTATGGTGTAGTTTCCTAATAATGATCTAATTTATTAGGGCAAATAAAGCAAGCTAAGCCAACCTGGTCTAATAGGAGAGTTCAATTTTGAAAACAACAGTTGACTAATTTGTTCATGAATTCTGTTCTGTACCTGAAGGAAAATGTTTGACCATAAGTTTGTGACCTTAAGCTCTAGAGCTGGTGGTTTATGCAGTAAGAGAATGAGCCAAATTATACCTACTGGTCTGACTCTGCAGGAATATAACCCTTCTCTATTGATTAATATCAATACATTTGCCAAAAAGAATGCATCAAAGATTATCAGCGGTGATATAAAAGGCTACTTTTGTACCAAATTTTTTGATGGTGGTTGTTGACACCAAGGGTTACATACCATTTATTAGATTTGGAGGTAAATTTCATAAAGAGCCAGAATGGTTGGAATGAATTTTTCCCTTAGCAAGCATTATTATCAAAATCTGCACATTCAAAGCTTAGTTTGTCATGGTCTAATTTTAAAAGTTGTTGATCTTTATAATAAAAGAAGTAACAGAAAGTGAAAAAAGAAAAAAACTCTGTCAAGCAACTACTTTTTCACAATGACAAGCCAAAAAAAAACAATGTGACAATTTAGAAATACTGTTTTAACACTAACAAACAAAATCACCTTCCATAGTGATCTGACTTTATGAAGTATACTATTTTGTTTATGACAAAAATTCTTGTGGCTACTGGTGATAACAGGCTTTTTGTTAACTGAAACCTGAGAATATATTCTATGAAATCATTTTATTTTTATTTTGAAAATTTATGCAACATTTTTCTAGTTTGCTTGGAAAACTAGAAAATTGCAATATATTTTTTTGCAACTAATTGTCGGAAAATTCTTTTTGGGTCTCATCTTGTTTGTTCAGTGTCTGTGTGAATTTATAGAACCATCTCTAAATGTCATCTCTGCTTCCCTCTGCACTGGAGCCCTGGCTAATCAGCGCACGCCCACCACTTCGTTTCAGTCTGCATTGTGCATAACAAGCTCAAACTCAGCTGATCCACAAAAATTTGTTTATTTTGGGTTTTAATGAACTAAAAAATAAGCTGTTAATGTTCACCAGGCTTGTTTTTCCATTCTCTGGCAAAGAGTGATTTGTAGTTTAGTGCTGTTTTGTGACCACAGATTTGCTTTTTCTATAAATGGGTTTGAGCGAGATCTCCCACTCTGTGTGGGGATCAGGCATGGTTGTGTGTACAGCATTATTTGCCATGGTCTGAATCTTTTGTTTTGGGTTGTTCTGTGCCTCCTAAACAGTGTCTTTTTGCTTTAGCTTACAGTATTATCAAAAGCTTATTGTTGTTTTATAGCATGGATCGTATTGTTTCTTTGTTTGTTTGGTTTTCTTTTTTTTTTAACAAAGGTTCCATCTGATAGACAAATACACAGTAGTAAGGAATTAGATGTTTAATTTGCAAAATTTTCTATAAATAAAAAAAGGTATGTTTTAGTTCTGCATTGGGCCCCCTTGCTATGATATCCCTGAATCTAATTCAAGCAGCTAGCATCCATCATTGCCTATTTTATAGGTAGCATTCATTCATGTGTAATTCTTCCTTCATAGACATCTTACTAAGGCACGACCTTCCACTTAATCTGGCTGCTTGGCCTTGGTGAATGAAGCAGCCACGAGGTCCAAGAAGCTGCAGAGATCCAAGGACAAAATGAATGAAGTATATTTGGCAAAACTTAAAAACTCTTTTTAAGTTTTGCCACATATGCTCTTCATCAAATCTATCTCAACTTGGTCTAGGTTGCAAACAGTAATGGACAAAGAAATCCATATTTAGATGTGATATTCTTAGATTAGTTATATATATATATATATATATATATATATATATATATATATATATATATATATATATATATATATATATATATATATATATATTATATATATATATATATATATATATATATATATATATATATATATATATATATATATATATATATATATATATATAGTGTATATTGCTGCAAGGCACTGTCCTTGCAGTGAACTCAATGCTAATTTTTTCCCATGTCTGAAAACAAGATTAATAAGAAGATTGGTATTTCTTTTAAAAAACACTTTGATTGGGACTGTAGGGGTAACAATTTGTCGCATAGGAGTTGGTTTGAACTAAAACTTGATGGAAGAACCAATTAATTGTTGTCTCGTACTTTTACTCTGCTATAGTAAGAATGCACTAACCGCTTGTATCTGTTCTCTAAAGTGAATTCTTCCTCCTAGGAATGAAAGAAATGATCTCTGATTCCCATTTGATGGCCAATCAGAACACCCACTGCAGTCATCAGTTAATCACATTGCACTCAATCATATGCCCTGAGCCTGTTGGCGCAAATTACAAAGCCATCAGCGATGTAAAACCACACTCCCCAGGATGCAAATGGGAGTTGTGAGTTCAGGTCAGAAATAGAGTTGTGTTTTTTAATCAGGAAAGCTAGACATCCAAGCCAACGTTGGTTACGTAACCGTTGTTATGTCATCTGTTTGAGGGTTGCTGTGCTCTTGTTTTTTTTTTATACCAAGTGGTATTTGTGCCAGCTGGCATGCAACTTTTATGTGCAGATATGAAGCTAAGAGATCAGGAGCCTGAGTTTAAATAAATTGGTTACATAAGATTTAGAACTGTGTGAATGAAACACGAATCCATGCACAGACGGAATTTACCACTTCATTTATTCGCTCGCAGTTTGTTCTCGCAAATGCTCCTACACATCTGTGCACACGTCTTTTTGCATGTGCACGCTTCTCCAAAATTGCTGCAGAATTGCATCAACTTGGCACATTAGGAGTTTTGTTTAGGGCTCTGCATGCCTGCTTTTTATAACTGCAGGGATGTTTGAGCCTGGAAGCAGCTCCCTTAAAATAAAGGGGGAGCAAGACTGTTTGATTGATATCCTATATGTTCCATGGCCTTAGATCTAGTATAGGATGTGGGAAATTGTTTTGTGGTTATAGAGGTCTCAGATGCAAGCTTTTAGGTGCACATGCTTTGACAAGTACATAGTTCTTTGGAGCAGAGGGGCTTTCTCCATGTCTGCATCCTGTCTGCCTATAAAGATAAAAGCCTCCCACTACTGAGATGGCCCACTGTGTAAGTTATTGTGACAGTAAGGAGAGAAAGCTATTGGGGGAATGGAGAGGTGGAAACGAGAGTTTGTGAAGCCCGTGGGCAGCAGTGGGGTAAAGAAAGTCCAAATGCAGCCTCAATGTCTCCAAACAGTATTGCCTGACCTGGGGCAGAACTCTTCTGCACTGTCAAAAGCCTCCTCCGTCCTGTCAGTCTCCCTCATGACTGCTCCTTCCATGTGAGCAGAAGCTACAGTCAGTCAGTGAACATACATGGAGAAGTGCTCTTTTAATGTGTCCTAAAGTGGAGTTTATCAGTTCTAACGGAGTGTGCAGCATGATTGATAACTTGACAAATCCTAATGAAAGATAAAACAAATCTTCTCGAGGAATGCATAACTCATTGCAAGTCTGTTGTTCTACACAAGTTATTGTTTTTCTGGTGTTTCTTGATAAATGGGAGACACGTGTGGGATGTCACACCATCCCAGCAACAACACAACATTTAATTTTAAACAAATTGTTACTTATATTCTTTTTCAAAGAGAAAATGCTTGCCACTTTTTCTGAGTTAATCTCTGAATAATTAAAAGCCTAGTATGTTTTGATGTAAAACTATGCAAAGTGGAAGTTTAAATGTTTTATAGAAAAAATACTTGCACAGGGAAAAAAATCAGGTTTGTCAGTTGGATGTCAGTCCAATATTTTAAAATAGTTATTAATTCAAGCTTGGTTACTTTTCAACAATTTACAATCACAATAAAAAGAGAGATCCCACCTTCTATGGTTCTCGTTGCATTCCTGTTTTTTCAGACTTCTTCATTTTGACTTGATATTGTTTAATTAATGATGAGGTAGAACTCTGTGGCATGCGATTTAAAACACTTGTGTGTGGGAGATTCTATTTCCCACACACACATATCTTATACTTTACCAATCAAAGCTTGCATGTTGCAAATCTGCGGGCTGTGTAGAATGATTCAATCCTGATGTGACACAGCACATTAAAATCCTATTGTATGCTATTCACCTGTCAGTTTGTGCTGTGTGTACAGCCATTTGACAACGTATGTTGACTGGACATCATGCTGTCTGACATACTATTAAGATGTGTAAAGTTCCTACAAAAGCGTTGTAGGAACATATCATTATTGTCATAAAATAATTATGTGAGAAAGTTCAATGTTGAAGTTATTTTTTAGTTTAGGACAGTGCGATGCAGGTAGATGAAGCAAAAAATGTTTAATATTTATAGAATGCAAAATACGTCCACATTTTTTGTATCATATTTTGCCCCTGGACCTTCTCGTGTTTCCTTGGACTATCACTAATACCCTTTAGATTTATGTTTTAATCAACAATCATATTTATGTGAATCATACCTAAATGGACTTTACTTTCACCACCTATAATTGTGATAAAACACAAAATACTAAGATGATGCTGTAATAAAGTCATACACACTTTATTTCTCTGTTCTTTGTCTCATCAGTCAGCGGTACTGTATGTGTAACCCTGATGTGGTGCAGCAGTTTCACAACCCAGACACCATCTTCATCCTGGCCTTCGCTGTGGTCCTCCTCAACACCGACATGTATTCCCCCAACATCAAGCCGCATCGCAAAATGGGGCTCGACGACTTCATCCGCAATCTGAGAGGTCAGTGTTCGATTTTATTGTTCTGCATCTGTTTGTGTGTGTCTTAGTGCACACTTGTGAGATTGATTCTGCGCTATATAGGATCTTGTGAACAGAGGTGGTATAATGAGCAGCATGCAAGTTTCACACTTCATGACAGGTGGTTTTATGAGCAGAAATCTTTTTTTTTTAGATTGGATATAAATATATATATAGAAACCAGATGTGCACAGATGTACAGCTGAAACACTCGACTGTTGATGTGGAGGAGATTAATTGAAATGAAATGCCAGGAAGAAGGATGAGGAAGATGAAGAGAAGAGGAGAGGGCAGGGCAAGTCAAAGCTTTACAACAAGCTGCCTCATATCAACCTTACTATCGGTTTTCTGAGTGACGGCCTCTTGAACTGAAATAAATTACTCAAAGAGGCTGTGGATGCCTGCCTCTGCTTGCTATCGTCAGAAAAACATCAGCTTTGCAGGATGAGATTTCTGATATCCTTGACTCTGCTCTGGAATCGGTGCAGTTAATTAAGTCTCGCTCAGTGACAGATTTAATGATAGTGATCCTTAGTTTTCCAGAAACATCTTATCACCTTTGTTGAATTACCTGAAACTTCTAATGCTGTCTATCCGCAGGTGAACAGATACATGCATCAACAGCTGGAACAACTTTTGTCTTGCAATCTAAAAGAAAATAATACACATTAATTATACTTAATTAATTATAATTAATTGTATATTCTATTGTACAGTTAGAACCAGGTAAGGAAAAAAGCATCTTCAAACTTGTGCAAATTGTGCAAATTGCTTGCACAAATTTGAAATTGTGTTGATAATTCCCTGTCCTCAGAATAATTTATACAGAAGTGCAGCTCCAAAATTACAATATTTCAGAAATTGAAATTGAAATATTAAGATTCATTAGGCATAGTGTTAAATCTTTCAAGTACTTCGTTCTTATAATTATGATGCTTAAGACAGATAATGAAAATTCAAAATGCAATGTCTCAGAAAATTTGGAAATTATATACGATCAATAAAAAATTTATTTTAACAGCTAAGTAAGGCTTTGTAAAAGTGTTATTTTCTATCCACTTAATACTTGGTGGGGCCTTCTTTTGCATGAATTATTGCCTCAGTATGGTGTGGCATTATTGGGTTTGGAGTCTCGCATCTCCCTCTTGTCAGCAAATTGGCAGCAATCAAGTACAGTAACAGCATGGTCATTAAAATAGCTTTTGGTAACCTTGGCAGTGTGGGTAATGGCAAGTCCTGTTGGAAAGTAGCATCTCTATAAAGCGGTTTGCAGAATAAAAGCATGAAGTAATCAAAAATGTTGTGGTTGGTGACTGTGTTGACTGTGGACTTCAGAAAACACAGTGGTCCAACACCAGCAGAAGATATGGCACCCCAAACCATCACTGACTGAAACTTCGGCCTGAACTTCAAGCTTCTGTGACTTCTGTGCCTCTCCACTCTTTCTCTAGACTTTGGGACAGTGATTTCCAAATGAATGCTTTTTTTGGGGGGATTTTGGACCACTGAGAAATAGTTCAGTTCTTGTTCTCCTTAGTCAGATAAGACAGTGTTGACTTGACACCAGGAAGGCCACATTTATAGCCCAAGTGTTGGATGGGTCTGTGTGTAGTTGCTCTTGATGAACTGACTCCAGCCCAGTCTACATGTAGTGACGAGGCTGTTAAAGCTCTTAAAGCTGCAGTTTGGCTTGTTACTGATGCTCCTTTTTCTTCCACTCTTTCTCTTCCACTCAATGTTTTATTCATATGTTATGATACAGCACACAAAACAACCTGCTTTATGATATTTTCACATTTGTGTGTTTGCAAAATAGGTGAGTTTCAATGCCAAATGCCTGGTTGGTTTGTTTTTTTACTTATGTTTTTTTCTTTTGTGTTGTTGCCTGGGTGACTGTGTAAGGCGCTTGGCAATGGGTGAAATATGCCTATGCAAGTTTTCGACTACCAAACATTTCATCCACGAGAGTAAATGAAGAATCTATTCATTCAAAAATGAGTAATAAAAAATCTGAAATGTTTTCACAGCATTTAAATTTTTGGAACCTAAACTATTTTGTCTTCAATCCATTCATATTATTAACTGTCAATATGACTGTTGCATCCAGTTACCCTTGAAAGTGATTCACGGCCACAATGTATGAATAATCAAAACTTTCAGTATCGGCCAAAAAGGAAAGCTCAGATGACTGCTAAGGTGAAAATGAAAAACGATGATGATGCAGAAGATGGGTGGAAAAAATATTGAATTTTATTCTGTTTCAAAAAGGAACTGGGAAGCCAACACTGCTGCTGAAGGAAAATCAAAAGAAACTTTAAACAGAGGGTAATCCATAATGTGTCGGGCGTTAGGGAGGAAAAGAAACAATTAAAACTGCTTGGCAGTGAGCCCAAGAATTTTGCCACAATTTGTACAGAGATAATTAAAAACAAATGAAGAATGGCTGAGTGGCAATCAGCAAACAACAGCCAGGTGTGTGAGGGACAGCAGTTAAATTAAATGACTGGAGGAGAAAGGTAAAACAAAAGCAATCATAGTAACAAAAGCAAGATTAAACAAAGTAGAATAGGCGATAACAACACAGAACATAGAAGCAGAAAACAAATAGAAACATCCAATACTCAGTGCAGTAATTCCTGCAGATCGTGCCATCGTCTGTTATGGGTCATAAATTTCAATTTGGTATCATTTATTTAACTACTTAAACAGCACCCTAGATCTGAAGAGACTTTTTTCTTTATGTTAAACTATTTAAAGTCCTGTTTGCTTGATTTCATTCACCTCTTGGTCAAATTTCTACTAAAAGCCTGAAAAAGCTGATCAGTCTAGCATGTTTGTGACATGTGTGGTCATGTTTACATTTAATTCTAATTAAAATTTCCCCACTCCATTAGACAACATAATGAAATGCAAAGTATATGTAAGCTAAAACTAGTTGCAATCATATACCTCAAGAATAAAAATTATATCTATATTTTCTCAGCTAACATTATATATCAGTAGAAATACTCTCTATGTAGCAAACTTTGCAATTTCTAAATTACAGAATAATGCAAATTCATGTCTATACATTTTATGAGGTTCATACATCAATGAATTATAAAGCAACATACTCATTTGACAGAGCATGAATACTTTTAACAATTAGGAGACTAAAGAAACTGAATAACATCTAAACATCTGCTGTTGATAAACAACTTTATATTTTGGTTTGACAGACTGGACAAGGTTCACAGAGAATGCAAGACACCCATTTGTTCTTCTGGAAGAATCTACATACTCATTGTAAACCATATTTCCAAAAATACAGGATGTTCTGTCAGGACAAAGAAAAACCAATGCATACTTTTGTAGGTTATATTATTGTAATGGTGTCTTTAGAGTTGTGAATAAAAAAAGGAATCGGGCAAATATAATATGTTCTTGCCAAGATCCTGACAAAACAACAGAAAAATAGATCATATCCCACCACAACTTAAATCAGTGCAATGTCTCCCTGTTTGTAAAAAGACAGATGAGGTAGATTAAAATTTTGTTAATGATTTTTAAATCTCTAGATGGATTCTCATATCACCAGGTTGCTGTTTCTTCATTGGTGTTCGTTAGACCAGAATCACATAAAAGGAGGCAGTATTTAGTTTCTATTCCTCTCATCTCTGGAGCAGACAACATGAAAACACAGCATATGCAGAAATCGCTTTGTTTAAATTTTCTATAAAGGTCAAAGATTATCTTGTCAGTTTGATTTGATGTTTTACGTATTTAATTGTTTCAAATTTGCATTTCAGAATTTTTCTTTCAATGCGAGACTTCTTGTTTTTTTTAATGTTCTTTCCCTTTTAATGCTTCTCCTGTAAAGCAATTTTAGTAACTTTGGTTGTGAAGGATTCTATGCAAAAGTCGAGCATTGGCGCCACTAATCTATTTAGATTACTGCTATCAGATTCCTCAGTAAAACTCTCAACTGCATAGCAGCAACACAAAATGAGCAAGGACACGCTGCAGACTTGAGAAGTACACAAAATTCTGCTCCAGTTAGTATAATTATTTATTGCTTTAGAGGGTTTCAAAACATATAAAATACATTTTAAAGACTGTAATTTAAATTTATTGCTTCTGATTTGATGCTTTGAAGCTTTCTGTGCTACAGAGCAAAGGAATCAGAACCTCATGTGAGTTTTTTTGTTTTGTTTCGTTTTTTTTCATCACAACCACTCCAGCATTGAATGAGCCTTTGCATTTTTTCAGGTGTGGATGATGGAGCAGATATCCCCAGAGAGATGGTTGCAGGCATTTATGAAAGGATTCAGCAGAGAGAGCTGCGCTCCAACGAAGACCACGTCACATATGTTAGTCGTGTGGAGCAGTCCATCCTGGGCCTGAAGACAGTCAGTATCAGGCTTTTCCTCTTTCCTTCTCAGTTTAATCATGTCTCGTTCGGTTTGAATTGTCTCACAGCAGTCTGTTTTACATTAGCCGCCCTCTCCGTCTCTGTAACCTTGTTCCTTCAGGTCCTCGCTGTGCCCCACAGACGGCTGGTATGCTGCTGCCGTCTGTTCGAGGTTCCCGATGCCAACAAACCTCACAAACAGAAACTGTCTGCACTCCAAAGGGAGGTGTTCCTCTTTAATGACCTGCTGTTGGTAAGGATTGACCTTCAAAGAGATACACTGGTGTGCGTGAGCATGCATGCAGTCATGTGCACAATAGGAAATATGGTTTGATATCCAGCATGCGATTAAGGAGAGTTTACTATCTTTGTGTGTGCAGATCCTGAAGCTGTGTCCCAAGAAGAAAAGCTCAGCTTCATACACTTTCTGCAAAGCTATGGGTCTTCTGGGAATGCAGTTTCACCTCTTCAGCAATGAGTGTAAGATGCTACTTTACTTTGCAGCAATTTATTCCCATTACAAGCCCTAGCTTTGAGCACAAAAAGTGCTGAGCTTGCCAAGTTGTCCATTTTACTGTTGTTCTTTCAGGTCAGTGTCAGCACTCAGACTGTGAGGGTTCATTGCAATACATAATGGCACACATTGCTATCAAATTGTGGTAAATATCCTTCAGTAAGAGTGCTTTACTGTAACTGATTTAAACGTTAAATTTAAAATGAAAGAATAGTTCAACCTTCCAGTCTGAAGCTGAAGAAAACATTTATAAATTACAATAGAGCAAAGAAAATCGACAAGGGACCAAAATGTCTGGGCTGCTTTGTATTAATGTTCTGCTTTAGCTCTAATTTCTGGTTGAAAGAGTTTATGATCAGATTAACATGTGAGTTTCAGCAGCAGCCGAATCCACAACACACAAAATGTTGCAATCTTAAATAAAATGTTGCATTTTTTAAAAGAACCCAAACAATGTGTTAGCATGTGCTTTCAAGCAATTACAAAACAATGAACTGATGTTGCACAGTAGCACATTTATTTTTTTAGCCCCCCACCCAATCTGGTGTCCAAGACTGTATCTTTTTTTACCCCATGATTTGAAAGTCTATTCTAAGGGTGTTTTATTAGCTGCAGTCTTTTAGAAAATTGAAACAGAGCTGAATTGAGTTTTAACAGTCCGCAGGATGCACATTTTCCCCCCCCATGGATATAATTGAAGTTCTTCCTTTTCCTCTCTCTTGTGGTATTTACTCAGATTATGCTCACGGCATTACCATGATGAGCCCCTTTACCTCAGAGAAGAAGCAGCTGGTTAGTTTCTGCTCTCCCAGCGGAGAGGAGCTCAGGAAGTTTGCAGAGGAGCTCAGAGAAGCGATCGCAGAGGTCAACGAGATGGAGCAGATTCACATTCAGTGTAAGGACACAAGCACACTGCTCTCATTACATGGACATTTGATTAAAACCATGGCGCGCCTTCAGGCGCTGACAACAGTATTTGCCTGTTTTGCCTTGTAGGGGAACTGGAGAGGCAGCAAGGGATCCAGTTGCATGGCTTACACACCAATGGTGGGCAAATGGACACACACATGGGACATGGCTCTCCCTCAGGTGCTGGTTTTGCTTGTGTAGCATAATGAGTCATACATTAACTAAATGTCAGGTCCCTATATAATATCCTTGGTTTTTAGTATACATATATGCCGGATGACTGACAGAGATAAATTTTCATTCCACAGGCCAACAGGATGTGTATGATAAAACTGGCAACAACAACACAGTAGAGGTGAGTGCCTAAGCTACTCTCGTCTCCCTCAGGTAAGTATCTGCATATTCAGCTCTGTGAATGTTGCGTGTGTTTGTGTGCGTATATGCAGTTAGACAGGAACTGTGCCTCATCCTGAAAGGAGAGTGCTTTTTGCTTTAAAAGAGCACTGCCTGCAGCACATCACTACTATACAGACAAACCTACAAAGGCTGCTAAGAGGTGGCTCTGTAGTAGCGCTGCAAACAGTCCCATTCTGTTTCTGATAAGTGGACCAGCAGCCGCTGCTTACAAAACAGCCCTTCAGACATCCCAGCTAAAACCTGCCAGACTTCCCATGTGAGCCAGCACAAGGTTGACTGGCTCCTGGAATACCATTGACAAAGCTAGATAAGCCTGACTCTGTAAAAGTCAATAGGTGCATGTGTTAATGTTGTTGGGTCTCGGTGGAACTAGCTCCTCCTTTAAAGTGATAGTCCTGGATTTTGTAACTGTGTTTCTATTAAAAGGTTATAAACAGTTATTAACGCTGGTGGTGATTTAACTGAATAAAAATCCAGATCAGATGGCCTTGGAGAGCGAAGCTAGTGAATAGTTTAACAGGTGCCTTGACCAAAAAGAGACCTCAACAATTTCAGACAATTCCAATTTCAAAAATGTTAGGCTATTGATATTTTATGGACTTTAAGCTGATGTCATGTATTCATTGGCCAGTTATTCATAGAGAAGTTGATTATTTGTAGAGGAAATGGAAGTTGGAGGAGAGATCCAGTGAAACCTGCTTGCTAAAACGGAACATTTAAAGCATTTCTGGTCAGAACAGTTATCAAGCAGAAAAGCAAGGCATTGAAAAAAAATCCCTAAACTTGTGTTCACTTAAAAAGTTACACTATTTTCACTTTTTACACAGCTTTGCTGTTGTATGAGATCCTTAATACATTACATTCTCATAATGTTTTACATAATGTATCACCTCCAAACCAATTTTCTGCGTAAATGGTCAGCGATTGTGTCAATACCCGCTTAATGCAAACATAACGACATTTTAAAGTTCACCAAATAGAACGGTCATAAAGGTGTTTTTAAGAAAGTGTGTGATTCTCATAGACTTTATTCACTGTAGCCATGGAGATAGGCAGAGTAAAGGGATGGAAACATGCAGAAAAGTTCCCTAGTTCAGGAACTGAACCCCAGACAGATTGCAATGACTAATGACCTCTGAAAATGAGGCTTCTGCTCTGCAGCAACAGCGTTGTGTTACTACAAAATCACTGGATTTAAAATAGAAGTGGATTTATACTAAATAAAGATAGCAAGAGAGTACTGGGAGCATATTAACTGTATATATAGCCTTTTAATAGAACCTCTTGGAAAGAAAATCCTTTACCATCTCTTTAAACCTAGGCATATAGATGAATCTGTTCTTTTTTTTGCAGTTCTGTCCTTGTTTTATTCATTTTTCCCTCTTTTCCCCTGCCTTTCGCTTAGCCCCTTAGAATTGTAATTTATTGTGTTAGGGAGACACCTTGCCCTCGGTGTCGCCTCTTTCCTCTCCTGATACTCCTTTATCTCTAAACCTATCATTCTGCCACTCATTTTCTATTACGGCACACCCACATATGTAAAACCCGAACTGTTCCTGCTGAAATTTCTGCCTACGATCTCGTCTTACCCCGCGAACCCTGTTTTCTCCTCCCGGCCTGGTGTTTGCATAAATTGTGACCAGAAATGAAATAAAAATGTAGATTTAGTAAATAGATTAGGGACAGCATGAGAGAGTGTGAATTTTGCATGCGCTCGCACTGCATGCTACCACCTGCATGCCTGCATGCCCATGTGCATTAACACACCAGAGGGCTGCGTAGAGGCTGCGTTCAGGCTGGTAACTCCTCATGCGTTCTCTGACTGTTCCTAAACTAGGTGTCAATTCACAACAGGCTGCAGACCTATCAGCTGAGCCAGCCCAGCATTGAGTCCGCACCCCTGGCCCTGGCTGCACCCCCCACCCTGCTCAGCCCCGTCCAGGCCGGAGAGCTCCGCCCAGAGACCCTCATCCAGTGCCAGCAGATTGTCAAGGTGATTGTTGTGGACCAGAGCGGACGGGGACGGATGGAGGCGTTTCTCAGCCAAGGCCCAGCGACCCATCAGCTCATCCAGTCTGCCATGTCTACTCCCGTCCGAGTCAGAGAGGGAGATGGACCCCAGCCGCCCCTGCCGCCTCCTCCTCCACCTTACAACCACCCCCACCAGTTCTGTCCTCCTGACTCGCCCATGCCCTTCCACCACACCATGCCCCTCACCCGCCGGCGCAACTCCAGCGGCTCGCGCAGCATTGTATGAAAAAAATAATAAGTTGATCCTCACACTTGCACAAAGTCGGTGTAGCACAAGTCAACGCAAAAAATATTGAAGGAAAAGGAAAATCAAGAATCTACTCATAGAACTTGACAAAACTATGTGATTTGTTTTGAATGTGAGCTTTAATAGTGGTTCTGAAAGACATATTTTACTTCTTTTGTCTTCAAAATGTCACCCAGTATTAAATGATGTAGCCTGTCTACATTTCCCAGTTTTTAAGAAGTATGCTTTGTTTGCATTTTTAAATGTCAGCCATCAGGCAAATGTCTCAGCAAGCTCGGATCAAGAAACCAAGCGAAAGAAAATCTGTCCTAAAAGGACAAGAATGAAGGACTGTTTTCTGTTCGGGATATTAATATTGCTCTTCATTGGTGTGGATCTTTACTGGAGTGAATGTCAGGAAATCTTTCAGTAACGATGCCTAATGTGAAAAAAATACCAGTTAATAGGGGCTTGAAAAGTACTAATATCACTTGAATTTATTCACATTGAGCTTGGTTACACAAATTTTAATCTATTTTCTTGGGATTTTACATAGTGATGCAGAATTATAAAGCAGAAGGAAATGTAATGTCTTTTGCATTGCTCTGTAGCGTTCTGCGTAAATATGTAGCTATACCTCATTTTGATGTGATCCAAACTGTAAGATTTACTTTTGATCAAATTTACTTTATGAAATAGTCCAAGCGTATTCAAGTCACATGTATGTACATCAGCTTTAAAGTTTTGCTAAAGATTCCTAATTGGATTTAGGTTTGAACTTTGACTAGACCATTCTCAAGCACAAATGGTTCTCCCAGGGTCAATTCTGTTATTGTCTATTCTCTAACACCATTACCATTTAGTAATGGTAATGGTGTTAGAGAATAGACACCATTTTTCTTCCTGTATTTAGATATATCAATGCTTATAAACTGACCAACTTCCCTGTTCCTGATTAAAAAAAATTATGCATCCTCACAGTACAATGATGCCAATACTATGTTTTGTTGTGAGGACAGTGTTCTTAGGGAGAGATAGTTTGTTGGTATTTCACATATAATTTTATATTCGGGCCTAAAGGTTTAGACTTGGTCTTATCTGACCAGAGCGTCTTTCTGCACATATTTTCTGTCCTGTTGCTGTAAGATTGTTGTATTAATACTGAGGTGGAATTATTAACTCCTTCATATAAACATAAAATATAAAATGAAAACCAACATTTTACATTTACTGCTCTATTATGCAGTAACTTGTGTTTGTCTACAGTGTAAAATCCCAATAAAATACCTTGGAGTTTGTGGTTGTAATATAAAAAATGTGGAAAAACTTCAGGCATGAATATTTTTGCAAGGTAAGATATTTGGTTGTCTATTCCTGATTTTCTTGCAAGCAAAACAGATGTATGAAAAAAGCAGGAATGGGTGAGGGGAAAAATACATCAGCTGATGAGGTGTAGTGTCAGAAGCAAAGTCGTTCCCACTCACCCAAAAAAATATCTAAAAAATTTCTCAATGACAATCATCTTTTTGTGCTTCATTGTGTGTTTTGCTAAAACTGTCTCATTTCTTGCTGCTTGTATTCAGTGGTTTGTTGCTCTGACGGGAAAGACTGCTGCACTGCAACATGTGATACTGCATCTGCACCTCACAGAGAGCAAAGTGTGTGTGCACCATGTGTATTCAGGCTGCTTACTCGTGGGCCACTGGGATTTGGGCCGATAATTCATTCAAAACAAGGCTAAAACAGGCGCTCACAAAGCCTTTCTTCTCATGTACATTTACTCCTGTGAATACCAAGTGTGAATACCCATACCCATGTTACTTTTGGATTTAGAGTATATCTTAAAAAAGCCCAGAAAAAGCGCTATTATTAAATCTTGAAATGATGCTACACAGGGTAGATACCTCAGAGTTTTCACTGTTATATTTTCCTTAAATAACTGGATCGTTTCACAAGCAGAGATGCATTTCTGCGAATGTTCAGCTGGAGAAAAAAAAAACTGAAGATGTCTAAGAAATGATTCTTTATTTCATCACTGTGTTGATTGCTCAGCATAGATGGTGTCTGACTTGAGCCGGTATATATAGCACATCACTAAGTCTTTTTGCACCACAGAATATATTGGATATATTGTAAATAGATGAAATAGATTTATTCTGAAAAAAAAGTGATCGGTTTGCCCAGTGTGTGTATCTACGTATGTATTTGTACAGAGAAAAATCTAGTTTAAAAGAAAAAAAGAATAATATAGTTATTATAGTTACTATTCACGTTTATTACTGGGGGTGTCCTAAATGCAAACCCCCTTATGAGAGTCGGGAAACAGGCAGTTTTTTGTAGCGTAAACAGTTTAGTTACTGATCTAGATCCATCATTAAAGAGTCATATCATGTTATAACAACGTTACTAAAAGATGGCAGTGGCACCTGTGAAGGTGTGTAAAGGGCTATCCTGTAATGGTGAACACATACAGTAAAACACATACCCACAGACGCACACGAACACGCGCACACAAACATTTACGACCTACACATAGCTGCTAAAACAACAAATTCTGATTAAATATACTGCTTGATTTATCAAGTCAGCAACCCCACTTTGTTTACTATGAACTCTGACTGGCTTGTAGTATAAAGCATGATGATTTTATTTTGTTTTCTTTTTTCTATTATTTCAAGAGTACAACAGGAGCTCGATGCTATGTTTGTTTCATTATTGTCAGAGCATGTTAGGTTTGATTGATGTCATTTTCTCCTCCCTCTCGCCCATTCTTTTCCCTTCTCTTCTCTCTGTGGCTGTCATGGAGACGCACCAAATCTGCATCCTCCTTGTGCAGCACCGTCAGTTAATCTTTGCATCCTCACGGTATTTCTAACAAGGAAATTTCTTAAAGAACAATGTGTTTCCTATTGGAATTTCTAAGCTTTTCTGTTTGGAGAAAATGAAAGAATAAAGTAGTTTTTACTCTCGGGCATCGGGCTGTTTTGTGTGCTTCAGGAGTCTCGCCGAGTTTTTGAAGGATAATTTTGCACCAGGTGTGGAAGAAGATTGGTGGAATAAAGAAGCTAATGGGAAACCGGTCTGCGCCGGTGTTCCCGTGTCATCCCGGTGCACCAGGTAAACTAATTCATTTGAGAACACAGCCAGATAATAGCAAATCTCAGTCAAACAGGTCTGAATTATTCCACTCAATCTTGCATTACATGGTTGTGGATTTTTATTTTCGTCGAAGTGCGTGACAGAGGTTGAGTTAAATTAAATAGAAACTTATCAGAGTTTATTGTTGTTTCACAATTATACAAATGCAACCTACCTAAAATGAGCCAATACACCTAGTCTATTTTATTGACAGAACATTCATGAAGTTTTTACTTCTAAAAACCTCAGTGGTTTTATTCAGGAGAGTTTATCAATAGCTCTGCTCCGGTAATCATTATTTTAATGTAAAAAGGCACGCAGGTGGAACAAACCCTGCACAAGCTCACACATGTAATTATGAACAAGTTGGAATTAAGTCTTCACATGTTTTTTGGGAGTGTGCAAGAAAGCTGGAATACCTGGAGAAACTCCATGAATACACAGAGAGAACGCCACTCAGTTAAACTTTGACCCCACATGAATACATAATTTCTCACCTGTGAGGCAATAATGTCCAAGGTTTCCCCCAGAAAACTTGCTGAGCCTGGTGGTTGGGTGTTAGGACAGTCAGTCATCCAGCAGCCTGTTGTGTTTTTGGGTTAAAACATACTTTAAGTTGGCATAAAATTTGAAAATATAATGAAAATTGGAAGATTAACATGTGAACACCGACTATAAAGTCTTAAATGCAAACATCTGTGGACTTCCACTAGTGAATAATTGAAATCATTACTGACTGTAGAAACATCACATACGTCCTCCATCAACTGTGATTCTCTGCCTCTTTATGCTTTCTCTAGATTCAGAAACCTTGAATTTAAAATAAAATGCAGAATGAGCTTCTATCCGAACTTTGCACCACTCTCCCCTTAATTCTTTAATGGACTATTCTTTACAATTTTCTTTACAGTTTTTGGTCATATTTTGTGTGCATTTTTCCTTCCATGCATTTTCTTTTCACTCAACTTCTCATGAATATCCTTTGGGAGCTTTGTGAACAGCCACACCAATTTTCAGTCACCTTCCCCAGGGTTTAATTGGTCATGATGTCAATCAAATAACAAACACTTGTAGACTGTGTAGGAGTCCTATGGCATTGTTCCTAAATCAAAGACTTATATTCAGGCTGAGTCCCAGGGAAAAAGCAACTTAGGTTTGATGTAGACATTTGACTTTGTTATTTTATAGATGCATTACATCAAAATCTGTTCAGTCATCTCAAGAGATAAAAAAACCAACCAAAGCATGGTATAACCTCTTTTAACACCCCATCCCCCAATTTAATTGAAACCAGCACTGGCAAGTTTTACTTTTAAAATGTTTCTTTTTAATATCAAAAGCTAATAAACATTTGATGACAGCAAGTCCATGGGGAAAAGTTTTACTGTCAAGTATCAAGGCAAGAGTAAATGCTTTGAGTTTGCAAATCAGTCTTCAAAAGCATACACAATACCTGAACGCAAACAAAGTTACAAAGAGAATCACAAAATCCCATTTTGGCTTGATAAATTTTCTTAAAAAACAGTAACATTAAAGTAATGCAATGCAGATGTGCAGAGTACCTGTAGGTGAACAGATAAGATTGAAGTCTCACAATAAGCTCATGCTCTCTTTTCTGGCCATGTCATTCCTGATATTTATAGCTCCTCCAAAAGTTTCTCTTCCTGTCTTTGGAAACGAGCAGACAGGATGTGCAAGAAAGTAACAACTGGACAGAGAAAAGGGTTTGAAGTGGAACATCTAAGTCTTATTCTTTTTCAGCTCCTCTTTATTGATCATCTACATTTGTCTACAGGGTGGAGGTCCAGTTGAGGATCCTATGGTCCAAGAAAAGCTCTTAGAAATCTTCCTCCAGTCAGTGGTTTACATGGTCGTCTCTTCCCATTCCAACTCAACATCACCTGAAAACCAACACAAATCTTTTGTTTGAGCACAACACTGTTGTGTGAAGTTTGGGTTCTTATATTTATGTTTATTATTTACCTTCCATGGCTTCCAAAGAGTCCATCTTCTCCAGAGCAGAATAGTTAACAAACCAGATGGACTGGCTGTTGCCTTTGTTGTTCAGAAGTTCCAGAGTACTTTGGTGGAGGAAGATGTACTGGGCCTGACAGCACAAACACAGGCTGATGATGATGGTTCAGACCAGATGTTACTTTGTCACTTTGATTCGAAACAGATGCTGAACACAATATTCTCTTGACAATAAAGCAAAAATGGTTTATGCACTGTGTGCATAAATGTTTTCATGTTGCCCGATTTATTTGCTTTGGACACAAATCTGTTAGAACTGATTTGTGCAGTATTATGAAGATCCTCAACCAAATTTGAACACTTCACAGAAAGAAAAGAGAAAGTGATCAGTGCCAAATCACAAACTAGATTAACCAATGTTGGTGGCAGAAATTCCTACGTGGTAAGTAATTCGTCAGTGGGTGTAACTAACTAACACACACAATGGTCATGTCATGTAGCTGCTTATCCTATGAAATTAAATCATTAACTGAAAGGTGCGAGCTCGAAATAATAGCAGAGTGGAGTTAAATCAGTGCATTCATTCATTCTGTGAACAAAAAGGTGTCAAACAGGTTGTCTTTATGGACAAAAGCTTGGAATATTTTACATGTTGATTATTGTCAGATAAATGATATAATATTTTGTCGTTATGAAAGGAAGAATGTTTTTAGGAACCGTCGAGAGGTTCTGCAGTTGAAAGCAGTTTGATGGACAACAAAAATTATACAGGGTTAAAATTTAGAACTAAACTAAACTCATTAACAGGTTGTCAGGGTCTCCAGCGTGGCCAGGAGTTGTTTTAGAGAAGTCATCTCAACGTGAGGACAGAAACTATTTCTGAGCTGCGTGTATTATGCCTCATGTGTCGTCGTTCTTTGTGGTGAAAAGACAGGGTCCTGGCTCAAAAGGTCTTTTAAGATGCTTTTGACCTGCATGACGAGGCAGACTAATTAGATGTCTTCAATCCTAGGCAATGAGGTGCTGATGAGCTACTGTGGTATGTTGAACTACTGTGGTATTTTGGGATCCATGAGAAACTGTGTCAAGTTTATCATGGATCCCAAAACACTTAATTCAAGCCAGACTACATTTAAACCAGGTGATTGTTACAGGGACGTTGGCTCTGTATATTTCCTGCTGGTTTCCTGCTCTGCAATTTGTTGTATTGTGACAAAATGTGACAACGGTCTAGGTGTGTAGATGCTTATGTCAGGCACTGTATAACACAGCCTAAAAGAGTCATATGTGTAGGTTTCGTTTTGACAGTCCATGCGGGACTCAATCCTGAATCTAAATATTGAAACATGCTGAAAATGTAGACATGAGAAAACCTTGATGACACGAGGAAAATGAGCAGAGGATCCCACATTAGGCACCGTGCCAATCCTGGCAATCACTTCAGTAATCACTGAGGTGATTTCTGGATGGGATCATGCTGTTACAAGAAGGAGATTGCTGTTTTGCATTTACCCCTAATCCGCTGGCAGATTATTCTAGTAGTTATACAAAATAAATCTTTTTTATTAAGAATAACACCAGGGCATTTACAATTTGGATTGAAGCCAACCACATGTGGATCCACTTATTTTCTATTAACATATCCGTGTTATGCAACCGTATAGCTGTGTGGCATCGATGTGGTAAAATCAGTTCAGATAATTTCAGTTGGGAGACAACTTTTTTTCCTTCTTTTTAGGATCCACTTGGTTGTGGATTCATTAATTTGTGTTTAGCAGAGTTAATTTCAACATTTTTTGTAGTTTTGTATCTGTTGTGGTGTCCAAACCCAAATAGCTGATATCTAGCTTTTGTCCCCTGTTGAACTCACCAGATTCTGCACCATGCACATCCTCTCACTGCGCAGCTCAGCTACCAGCCCATAAATATCCACAAAGTCATGATCTCTGACGTGCTGAATGAGGTGATCGAGAGCAATGAACACGCCTGTTCTTCCCACACCCGCACTGAGGGAACAACGAGAAAACCAAAATCACTCTTACACCAGAATCTGGGAATTTGCTTCTATTTATAATCAGAATGTGCTGTTGGATATTCAAACTATTCCTTTTATCCTACCTGCAGTGGACCACTATCGTGGAGTTGTCCTGGCGATGTGCTCGGACAGCTTTGACAAACTTAATCAAGGTGCTGCAGGATTCTGGGACCCCGTGCTCAGGCCATGAAGTGTAGTTGAAGTGCTTGACTAAAATGTAGTGACCATGCTGCAGAGAGCAATAGATGTGGTTTAGTGTAAAAATTGGGGTAACTTGTTAAATACTTGGCTCATTATTAGGAAATTTCACTTTGTTTGGCTTAAAGAAAGTGACATAATTAACCAGTGTAAATCCTTTTGATCCACTGAAATGTGCTACACAAATAAACTTGACTTGTGTTGACACGAATAACAACAATACTAGCTAAAGTCGAGCAAAAACTCTGCTAAATGTCATGTAGGATTACACTAAAATATAAAGTTTTTACACCAGATTATCTGTTCACCATCAAGGACCGTGGGTGCCTATCTCCAGGAAACAGGGAAAGAATTTCCATTAAATCAATCTCGCTGCTACCGTTTTTGTAAATTTATTTCAGAATCTTTGATATGTGTTGCTCTTCATCATCCAAAAAAATATCAGCAAGGAAGGACCTACTTGTTAAAGGTCACCCTTATCTACAATCATAGCTGTAACTCAAAAGTGACACACAAAGCTAAATGAAGGCCAGAGTTTATCTTGCCACCTTTCAAAGTCAGAAGGCTTTTTCCACAAATGTTGTTTCGTGTGTACCTATACGTTTGGAGAGCAATGTATGTGTGTGCTCAAGAGTCGTGTATTTGTATTCAGGAGGCTTTGCTACCTTTTCTACTTTCAGTGTTCTGACAGTCCAATCAGGAAGCACTTCTTCTGACACTTTAGAGATGAGAATATCACTAAACACCGTCATTGGCTTGTTGTCCTCAGGCCAATACTTGTGACACCGAATCTGAAATGTCAACAGCGCAGCACACAAAGCATTTGTCAGATCTTCAGAAAAGAGTTTATCCCTTCATGGAGGGAAGAGCCGTAATGCTGCTTGTACTCTGATTTCTGTCACGCACCCTGCCTTTCTCATAACATTGTGTGAGCATGGCAACACTGCGGGTTCCTGTCTCCCAGATCATCCTCCAAAAGTCAGCCACTGTGCTGGGCAGAGGACCCTGAGTGGCTATGAACTCATTGGGACACAAGTAACCCTGCAAACAAAAAAGACTGTAGTCCTCAAAATAGACCTCTGATCAGAGTTTATGAGAGTTTTTTTAGTAGCGATAGCTCACCGAGACAAAGCTTGCATTGATATAGTCTGATCCTGCCATGCCTGGTTCTGAGAGCAGCTTCACTCGGTTGTTGTTGTCTAAATGCAGACAAAACAGGAAAAAAATAATGTTCAGTGAACAGTGTGAAATGTAGCTCTGCAGAGGCACAATGGGACAGAAAATAAGACTCAGGCCTAATTTCTAGTCTAACCACATACAGGGTTTGATGTTGAGGAAACGGTTCTTGGATTTATTCCATGGCAGGTCGGCGTCTGTGGTGGCCAGGTCCGGCAGCAGCTTTGGGAGCTCCTGGAGGAATAATTAACAAGAAAAAATAAATCTAACACATTCACATTAGCATTCACATAAACTCCCCGGGACATTACTTTGAGCCTTACAAAACTAACTTGAGTTGTCTCATTAAAAATGATTACACTAATTGAGACATTAAATATGGGAAATCTATGAGAGCTTCAGATGTTTGTGCAGCCAGGTAAGATTTATGGTTTTGGGGTTTTGTTGCTGCCTGGTGAAGAGAAGGAAACACAAACATTCATGCAAGGTTGAAAAGCAACATTATGTGAAAATCCAAAATCTTTTCCCTTCAAAATATTTTCTCATGTTTACCTGTTTCTCAAGGTTTGGCAAAAGAATCCCATCAGCAATTCGGTTTGTAATTTCTGTATTTGAAGTCATTCTAGAAATCATCCTTTGCATGATGCCTTATGCATGTACTACTTTGTGTTACTCTATCATAAAATCCAAATTAAACACATTTAAATATGTCGAAGAAACATGAATCAATGAGGAGAAGTAGAGGATTTATGAACACTTTTGCAAGGTGTTACATATGCAGGGCTCGGGCCTTTCTGGGTTTTAGCCAAACACTTACCGAAAACTCCTCCTGGAACTTTGAATTGTCATTGGCACACAGATCTTCCACATGCTGCAGGAAGGATTTCTTGTTGACAGGCCTGACAGAGACGATGGGAGAGAAATGCACTGACTGCGAGCGACAGAAAGAGTCAACAATGCACCATTCTATGTCAACTTATTTTAGGTTACGAGAGGCGTGGAGCCATGAAGTACATGCTGATTTCTCCAGCAGCTGCTGCGTGCATGCTCGCATCATTTATAAAAGATGACTTACTTGAGCGACTTCCTGTAGCTGAGCAGCCTGGACAAAAATAGAAACAAAATAAACAAATTAATGCAATGATCGCAGCCCACACTTTGGCATCGCCATCCATAAAAATTTAACTAATCCTCACAGCAGAAAGTACACCAAGACATGTGTTTAGAAAACCCCCTTTAGGAAAGAGGGTTGAACCATTTTTTGAAATCAAATCCACGCAACACTGATGCATGCCTTGATATTTCATCCTAATGATAGTGATGATCAGTTACATGAAAAGTGAGCAGGTCTTTTCCTGTGGAATCTACTCAGATCTTCAACAGTTGATGAAGCTTACTGTTTATGCCTCCTGTCTTCCAAGCGATTTGAGGCTGCATAAACAAATTAAAACGGTTTTATGGAGAAGAGTTTCAGCAAAGCAGTTCATCCCTCTAGTAGGGATCGAGGAAAACATGCAGGCAGTTGGTAAAACACTGATGTCACTGATTCATTGAACTATCAGCCTCCACAAAAGCTTTTCTAAAACTGCACAGATGGACGGTTTGACGCAAGCATTAATGGGCAACATGATGACACACACACACACACACACACAAGCATACACGCAAACACACTCTATGGGGAATTAAAAAAAACAAGAATACAACATGCAAACATGCCAAAATGAGCCTCACACACACATGCACACGCACACACTAAACACCCAACTTACTGGATGACATAAATCTCTTTCCGCCTAAAGAAGAAGGAGGAATACCTGGTGGGAGACAAATGTTCAGTGAGAGAAAGACAGCTCGTGAGAGTGGATGTAAACGTCTGCAGTGAAGGAGAGTTGGGAAGTGACAAGGAAAGGTGTGTTACTTTAACTGCGAGACAAGTCGCGTTTAAACAGATCTCACTGTGCTGTCAGAGCTGCAGTAATATTCTGGTCATATCAGAGAGGAGGAGACAAGAGACGCTGCCCAAATGAGTACAGTGAAACGCCTTCAGTATGAAAAATGAGTGAACAGTCAGTGTGGAGGAAGAGCTGTCATTCCAAATGTTTCAGATGAGTCGCCTGCTATCATCCCTCTACTCTTAAAGATAAAAGAGGATTCTGAGAAAAAAAAATCAGGGAAGTTCAGCAGGCTTTTAGACTCACTACTAAAAAATAATCATTTGAGGTCTCATTTGAAGTGAGCAGCTATCAAATTTACAGATCAATCATTGAAGTAAAACTTGATTTACTTCAATGATTGACACAAAAACGCGGAAAGAATATGTTTCTGTTTGTATATTTTATCTAACCTGCAAACATTTAATCAGGGTCTTCTGCTGAAGTAAATCATCAACTCAGAAGAAAAAAAAGTTCTGACTTTATGACTCTGTGATAATAATTACGTCACTTTGTCCTCTGAATTAAAATAAATGTCCTGAACTACTCCCAAGTACTAAATGAAATCTGGATATGGGTGTTTTGAGGTGAAGTGACAACAGTTAAAACGTCCTTGAAGAATAGCTCCTCAGAATGACTGGGATGCAAATCAAAGCCAAAGTTTTACTGGGTTAAGTTAAGATAAAGTGCAATCCAAGTTTTCATATCTTCATGGGAAGTTATTTGCAAGTTAGTTTTGTTTTATTTCAACTTTGCTAAAATATTTACACTAGAAACCAGAGAAAAAAACTTGGTCAGATTTTGTTTTTGCAGTGACATACCGATTTAACGTTGCAAAGGTATGTATGACTTTAACTAATGGGTCAAAACAATACAGCTTCTTAACAACAAAAATAAACACACTCAAGCCGAATCCAGTAATGTGAAAATAAACATAATTAACCTGCTGAGCAAATCTATGCAGAATAAGATGGCAAAGTGCAGCGAGACTGGTAAATGATCCTTTGGATCCTTTGACATAGGAATATTTCACAGGACACATTCAATAAATAACAGAGAACTCTGGAAGCCAAAAACAACACATGGGAGGTAACAGAAGATAAAATAGCTTCTACAGTGGAATAAAAATCCCACTGTAGGCTTTGCCTTTTCATCTGACCTGGGCATAATTGAAAATCTGTGGACATACCTCCAGATGAATGCATGTGGGACAGCTCATAAATCACACTGAAATACAGCTGGAGCCTTTTACAGGAAGAAATTATTTTCCACAGTAATACTCTACTATAAGGCTTTATAGAAATGTTTGCAATAGAAAATCTTTATTGACTTTCCTGATGGCTTTGGAGGATATGAGTACTAAGATTCAAGGTATTGAAGTATTGAAACTTTAGATTCAGAAGGTTGATTTAAAAAATATGAAAAATTCCAAAAATAATAACTTCACTGGTTAATTATCCATGTTTGCTAGTGGCGTTTTCCACCAAGTTGTGGGACAATTTGTTCTCTGCAAGCAAAGAAAAGAGGCTGAAAAGTTGGATTCCTGTTTTGTAGCAGAGATTGACTGGGAATAAAGGAGACAGAATGATTTCTCTGTTCTGCAGAGAACTGAGGGGAAGGGAAATTACAAAGCCACAATGCTGTGTTGTATCTTGTTGCCGCTGCAGCTCCTGTGTCTATTTTTTGAACAAACTCAACACCGCTAGATGATCCTACGCTGACAGGAGTTGCACACCAAGTTGGCAGCAGCAAAGAGGGTTTTTACCTTGTTCACATAGATTTGGAATCTTGTCTTGCATAGCTAAATCAAGTGTAAAGTTGAACAGCCTGCTTCTACATAAATTGGCAAAGTGATGATTCTATTTTAAAACCAACAAAGGCTTACCTATTGAGTTTTTCTTGTTTCAGCTCCATATCTGCTACAGCAATGAGTTGATCTAATTTGCACTTTGTCTCTATGATCTCTGCCTCTCTGGGTGAATAAGTCCCGCCCTCTTTCTTACGCTGATGGATCCTGGAAACAAATGTCGACCGAGCAGTTACTATCACTGAAAAAAACGGACATGTTCAAATCGTGTGGTGGTGATGTTATACAGAGTCGTTTTATATTCTTTTGATTGATCTCACTTTACTGAGCAACAGATAAGAAGGATGAGGAACACAGCCAGAAAGAATGACAGCAAAACGCCCAGGATGATTTGTTCCTCTTTGGTCAGTAGTCTGTCCGCTGCAAAGGGAGAGAGAAATCATTAAAGCAACCTAAAAACAAGCAAGAACAATACATGAATTACGTGAAGTTCACGTAATCAGAACTTCACATACACCCAACATTAGAATGAATTTCATCACAATGTTGGGCTTTCAATGAAATATGTGAACCTCTTTCTTCACAGTGAACTGAGAATATGATGTGCAACTTCAATCACGTTCAAGAAAGTCGTTTAAAGTTTGCTTTTGGACTTTGGTTGCTTTATTATGGTTTTGGAGGCACACTCTAAATAAATTAGGGCGTATTTAAATTTTTTGCACAGTACTTCAGTTCAGTTCTTTTTAAGATGAATAATTATTTCTTGGTCTTCTCTTAAGACCTACCTGTAGTTCTAATATGCTCTGAGAATTCAGAGTCTGTGTATTGGCCGTTGATGTTCGTGGCTCTGAATTTAAACCTGTTGGCATAAAACAGCAGCAGAACAACAGGAGCTTTTTATTCTTCCAAAACCTATTTCAATTTTTTAAAATATTGTATTGCTCAGAATGCTTCCAGTGCACTCACACGTAGACAGTGTTTGCCTTCAGAGGCCCGTTGCAGAAATGATCTGTGTCATTCTGTCTCAGGCAGTTGTCGTCCTCTCCAATCATGTAGGTTTCTGTGACGGTGTGGTTGTGCCTCAGCAGTGACGGGTCATCTCCAGACACACTGCGACCGCCTCCGATGAGCATATCCTTAGCTGCTGCCCTGTCCCTCGCTAAGCAGGTGGGGTTGGGGAACCCCGCGTCAGTGAGGTAAGGAGCAGGTCGGTGAAAATAGGCTCCCCTCCAATTGGTCAGGTTCTCGCTGTCCCTCACTGTGACATAATAAAGTTGGAGAGTGGATGAGTGTGAGCTTTTTATGGTGCACTCTAATAAAAAAAGAGGAGAAATTCAAGTGTATTTAACTAAAAGGTGATTACTGTCATACCCCCTGACTCGGCCACGATGACCTGGATTTTTGCGATTGGTCCGTTGTTGTCACTATAGAAACAGGCAGGCATGTGGATGGTTATGCTCCTGTGGGTTACCATGGCAACCCCTCCTTGGCCCAGCACTGCTTGGGGTCTTTGGGTTGGCTTGGATGGGGCTAAAACACACACACACACACACACACACACACACACACACACACACACACACACACACACACACACACACACACACACACACACACACACACACACACACACACACACACACACTATTATCTGGTGAACCATTGCGTCTGTGAGGTTTTACCTGTTACAGCAAAAGATGAAATACATAACATGGAAATTGCCTTCATTACAGAGCTAATGTCACATTAATGGTGTCATAATGCGCCGTCTCCAGAAAACCTGCTGTTAAGCTACAACTCTGCAACATAATTTTGTTAAATCACTGGAACAAAAAGAAAAGACACACTGTTGAGCACACTGCAGGTCTTGTACCTTTAATCCCTGTAGTTATCTGAACATGTGGACTGAGGGGGCTCCAGCCCGCCCCGTTTCTTGCTGCAATCTACAAACAGAACAGACACATGAAATCAGGGAAGACAGCAGAGAGAGACTAAGCACAGAAAGGTGTCAAAGCATTTCTAAGTTAAGCCCCCAAAAGGTTTAAGGAAGTGGAAAACATGATTTGGGGGTTTTGCTGCTTCATGAAAGCGTGAGTGTCCAGACCCATGACATGCGCATTCACTGTCGGAAACACACCATGGTCTGGAAGAAGAGTGAAAGAGTTCCGCTGTGTTAAAACATAAACTTTTGATCATTGTCTCCCTGCTGTCAGATAAAAACCAACATGTCTCCACACATCAGAAAACAGCACTGTGACTGATTGAACAGATTTTAATCCCATGCCCAACACAAGACACTCAGGTGGGAATTCATGAGGAAATCCAACCACTTCTATTTATTTTTTGAACTTGCCATTTGCTTCACTTGTGGACTTGATTCAGAAAGGATATTGTACAAAATACAATTAAGATGAGGATGGATAAAGAAGACACATATAGATTTTTGTCTCCCTGTCTAAAGTAAAGTCAGAACAAACTTCTCTTGTTTTAGGTCATTTAGAAGTGGAAAAGAAAATACGTCAGAGATTTACTTATTTATGTCTTCAAATAAGTAAATCAAAGATGGCTACATTAATTTCCTCAGTGTTTGGCAACATTGCCTTTGAACTGTATGACTTCTGCCATATGGTTCAGGTTTCCTGGTTGATGTCTTCAAATGAGTCAATATTTCCAAATAATGTTCTTTTGCTGGTGGACTTCTTTTATTGAGTGCACCAGTTTCTTCTGCAGCAAAGCAACCCCAGAGCATATAATCAAGCATACTATGAAGACATTTAAGAAAAGCATGTATGAACTGTATTAATAGATTTAAATTATACAAAAGTATAAAAAAAAATGACAAATCTCTTCCAGACTCCTTGGTAAATGAGATGAGATTTTTCTCACCTGTATACTGTAGGTGAGTCCTCCTTTAAGGCCTTCCACAAAAGCAAACAGCATGTTTGGTTCTCCATGGATGTTATCAAGACTCATGTTTTTCACCAACTGGTCCTTCTCATACACAAAGACGTAATAGGCAGTGATGTTTCCATTAGGCTCTTCGGGGGGACTGAAGCTCACCCTGACCAGGTTCACTCTCTCTGGGACAGCAGAGACTGTCACATTTTTGGGAGGATCTTTTGGCTCTGTAAAAAAAATAAAAATAAGGCATGATGCAAAAGCAGAGAAAGAAGGCAAAAAAAAGGAACATGATAGGGCTTCACTCCCGTACCCTCCTCCAGCGTCTGGAAGACAATCGGCCCAACAGCTTTCCCATCTCTGCCGGCATCCTCTACTGGACCAGTGAAGGCAGTGACAGTCACGGCATAAAGGTTGAAAGCTGTTAAGTTTGTCACAAAGACTGTTGTCAACTCTCCCGGGACCCGAACTATTGAGATGTTCACACCAGGACCATCCACCTGAGGTAACAACAAAGTTCATGATGGTTATTATGTATTGTCATTTGATGCAATAATCTGTTCTTCATTTGATGCTTTAAAACTCTGACCAAGAAAAGCCAATAATTGTCTTTCCAAGTAACATAATTTATTATTAACTAGGTACATGTTTTGATTTTACAGAGGTTATGGCTCAGAAAGGTGACCTGCACAAGATATGAAGTTGGTCCCGAGAGAACAGCTGGAACCTCCCAAGCAATCTGAAGGCTGGTGGAGGTTGAGGTCACTTTAAGGTCACGAGGTGGAGCATCGGGGTCTAAGGAGAGGAGATAAGGAAAATATGTGATTATCTGAAATGCAGTGGCTCCATATAAGACTGGAAACACATTAATCACACAGGACAAAACAAAATCAAAGATATTGAGGTCATTTATTGGATTCCGAGTAAGCAAACTGCTTTGCTTGCCTTAGTGCCTTTAGGGGAGGTACATTATTTAATTCTGAAAGTATATATCAGGTAGTAAAGTCATTATGGTAATGCAGGCTGTGACACAGAATGTGTTTGCCAAAATAAGACGACTAAATCATGGTATTCTAGCCACTGCAAGCTTTGTATAAGTATTGATAATTCTCTAATGTAATTACCACAAACTTCTGGGATTTTGAATGATAGACCAAAATAAAGAAGCACATAACAGTAAGGTGGAAGGAAAAGAGTAAAATAGTTTTAACAATGGTTTTGCATTACAAAAAAAAAAAAAAAATGAAAAAATGGTGGGATGCATTTCTTGTCAGACGTCTTTTCTTTGATACCCCTAAGTAAAATCCAGGCCCTTCAACATCATTCAGAAATCATGCAAATACTAAATAAAGATCACATATGTTTACGTTAATCAAGTCTAGCTGTTCTGAGAAGGACTGTTTTAGGCGCAGAGCAGCATCCAAAGGTTTGAATGTCTGACAGAGTATTGTTCAAATCTATCATCTGAAAATGATAACAGTGAAACTGCAAATCCATCAAAACTGCTGTTCATCAAAGCTGGTAGGCCAGGTAAGGAGAGCATTAATCAGAACTGCAGAGATCCAAAACTCAAAAGACAGATGATACTCAGACACTCCTCAAACATTGTCTTTTTGGAAGAGCAGCATTAAGAAAATCATTGCAAAAAATGAAGCACAAAGAAAGTTGTGTTTGCATTTTCCACACATAGCATAAATGTGGAAGAAGGCGCTCTGGTTAAATAGGACCAAAATGTCACTTTTTGCCTGCAAGTAAATTTTTAGAAAAAAAACTAACAAACAAACAATGCACATCTTGTTGACCAAACATTACCAATTAAAGTGGGAGTATCATTCTTTGTTTTTGTTTTTTTTTAATGTGCATGTCGTCCTGCTCTTTCCAGTATCCACAATTAAAACCAATTGAGAGTGTGTGGTAAGATTCCATCTAATTTGATTGAGATTGAATGCAAGTGCACAACACATGCTTCAAACTTTTATTTGTTATAAGTTTTGAAAACCACACATTCTTTTCCTGCACAATTATGTTGATAAAGATAGAGGCTCAGGTCAGCGGTACAATGTCACTATGTAGATTTAAAATTAGATACACAGATTGATGTAGTAATAGCTTGAATATTAAACCTGGTGAAGGAGGGCAGCTTAAGAGCAATATGAAGATGCATCCCTGCAGGATTATTTTTAATAACCTGTTGGAAAGCATTATGCTACACCATGTTAAGACTTTCAGGTGTGACCTTATGAAGTGAGAAAAAGCCTACTTATTGAATTAGTTTTCTTCACATTTTTATAAAGAAAATTGTACATTCTCTGTAATCTAATTCATCTGTCTGTGTGCAAATCCAAAATGTATTAGTCAAATACGCCTTGTACAGCTACCAAGTCTAATTAGACAACACTTAAAGGTCACATCAATAGTGTGTGTTCCTACTTCCAGCCAGGGTGTGTGCATAAATCCACTCTGCATATTCTCCAGGTCCAGCGTTGGTCACAGCGGCCACTTTGAAGCGATAGTATCTGTATTTAGCCAGGGACTGGAGGATGACATTGTCTTCTTCGGCACCATCTGAGGCATTCACTGACACATTAAAATTGTCCTCCACGCAGTGCAAGGCCATGCTGTCCTCTGGGGTTGGCAGGACAGTAGCTCGTGTGTTTGGTTCGCAAACTACTGAAATCAACTGTGCCACAACATGGTACTCTTTCAGCTGGCCAGGAACGGAGACCGGCGCTGCCCACTGAAGTGTCACATTGGTTGCTGTGACCTCAGAGATGGACAGGAAGCGAGGAGCAGTTGGAACTGTTAGGAGACAAAGAGGAGTTAGTTTCAAATACAAAACAAACAGGCTACTTTTATGAAGAACAAAATGCTTAACATGGCTAACCTGATTCAGAAAGGGTGAATGCTGTGCAGTTCAGGCTGTCTCCTGATCCTGCAGAGTTTACCGCAGCTACAGTGAATGCATACTCTTGGTCTGGTGACAGCCCGGCCACCTTGTACTGTGGTGCATAAGCCTGGTGGGTAAAGGTTTGCATGTCGACCTCTGCTGTGATCTCATAGAACAGGATCTCTCCGTTTGGGTTGGATGGAACTTCCCAGGACAGTTCAACAGAATCCCAGCTCAGTCCTGAGCAGGATAGATTCCCTACAGCATCTGAGACTGTAGGGAGAGGTGCAGAAGAGAGCAAGAAGCCAAAATTAATTTCAATAGATTTTAGTAGCTCTATTTAGGTCAACCATATTTCTGCATCAGTGTTAAATTTTGAAAGGGTGTCCATAATTATTATGAATTAACCTAAACATTAATTATGTTAAACATATAATTTTTAAATTGATTGCAACTACTTCTGTATATATTGATATTATGGTTAATTTTGTTGTAGCACCAAAATGATTAGTTTTTAATATCCTTGAATATTTTCATGTGATTCATGTTTTTTTCTACAATTTCACAACAAGGACGCCCTCTGGGTTATGTATCCTGGTTTCCTCAAGATTTTTCTCATTTTTATCTCCAGCTCCACAAACATCCTTCTTTGCAGTGTCTTCCTTCAAAGACTTTCACATTTTCACATCTTGCCATATTGCAGCTAAAAACTTCAAGGCTCTTCTTTGACCAATGTCTGCCTCTCTGACCAGTACGTTTAGGTGGACCTTTACATCTTAATAGATTAACACTTACTGCATGCAATAATCTTTGAATTCTTAGATGTTTGATTGAACGGTGCTCTTTGAGGTGTTCAAAGCTTGGGATATATATCTTATAACCTTCCCTTGCTCTTAATTTCTAAATATTCTTATCTCTAAACATGTTAAATGAATTCTGTTATCAAAGGTTGAATGGTATAAATCATTTTTAAAGTGAAAAATATGTAACTCCTGATTTACTGTACAGCGAGAAACCATGTATTGTGTGTATCCATGTTTGGCCCTGTGATGGATTTGTAATCTTCCCTGGCTGTTCACTGCTCTCAGTGACAGCTGGGATAGGCTGTCATCATCAGCCCCCTCTACCCATCAGCTCTGCATACACAAAATTATTAAATGTCACTGTGAAAAAGACTCAGGGTTTATTTATTTATTTATTTTTTGCCAAGAATAATTACATTTTTATGAGAAAAAAAGTTCCACAACTGCCAAGGATTTTTTTAACCTCACACATTGTCCTAAAAAACAGATAATTGTTGCCACTTGTTATGAACAACTAAACTTTTTCCAGTTGCAGTGGATGCTAGATACTTTTAGCTATTTTTGGATACCACTTTTATCTCTTCATCTGAAGAGCCAATATTACATTTTTTGACCAGACTTCTTTTAATAAAACACATTTTCGTATCGTGGAAGGTGTCAGATTACTCTCAGATTGAAAAAGTGGAGAGGATCAGAGCGTCTCAAATACCAGCTACCGAGAGTCCAAGCCGCAGAAGTGCAAATTTTTGGGTGGACTCAGACCTCAAATGTTTCTTTGCACTTTGAGCAAACACTTTATCGCGTCTCTATGAGAGAAACTTTTGGAAGTATTTTCCGGCTATTACCTTTATGTGCATTGCATACATTGTAGAGCTGACTCACACCTATTGGAAAGATAATCGCTGGAAGTTCTTTCTTACTTCTGTCAGAAGTAAGAAAGAATTTAGCAAAATTCTTATTCTGATAAGAATTTTGTGTCCTATCAGTCATATAGACACAAAATTCACATACAGCACTTCACATCTATTTGAACCCATAGAAATGAGTTTTAAAAGTTTTGATGAATACATATTTTATTGCAGTAATATTTTTCTACTGCTACATCAACATTAAATCTCTGTTTCTTTTCTTCTTTATTCTATGTGTAATGTTTCTCTTTGTGCATGATCACAAAGTTAACTTAGCTTTCACCTTAATTCCCACAGTTACAGTTCTTTTGAATATTGCATTTCTATTCTGATTGTAGATATAGAAAAGTTTAGGCAAGTCGTTTTCTTGTTGCCATTTTGTGCCTAATGGAAATCAACTCTCATCTGCCTTACTTAAATTCCATGCTCTCTTATCTTTGTCATTTAAAAGAGTGAGTAAGAGACATGGCCTCTCTCTCATACCATATTTGAACTAAAGCAAAACATAAAGTTGTATTTAAATAATTAGAAAATCTAAGTATTGTAAATCAACTTCAAGCTATAAAGTTTAAATGCTTTGTCTATCCATCCACGCCTTCACTTTTTTTGAAGGGTAGAATGCAGAAAGACAGACAAATCAAAAGCTTTGCTCTTTTTCAGCAGTTTTTTTCCCACCACAACAGATCACAGCTGTGCTCCCATTACTGCAGAAAAGGTTCCAATCTGTCTAACCATCTCCTGCTGTACCTTAACATCAAGGAACAAGGTAGATATTAAAACTCCTCCACTTAAAGCAGACCCTGACCTGGAGGAAGCACTCCACTTTCTTCTGGCGTTAAAAATTAGAGAAGGTGTTCATCATTAATTCTCTCAAACAGTGAGCTTTGAAGATTTTTCTTTAAATTTATTTTGCCATCCTCCTCACTGTGCATGTTGAAAAGATAAAAATAGGTTCTCTTCCAGCCTGGCTTGACACTGTTCCAGTTATTTTAAGTTTTTGAAGTTACTGATTTTATATTTATGTATATACAAGTTTAGGCAAGCTATAATTTTCACAGATTTATGATCAAGTTTGCCTCACTTAGAAATAAGGTTCTTGGAGCTTTCCCATTTTGAAGAGAAACAGACATCTATGTTTCATAGAGAAAGGAAAAGATTTTTACAAATGACATTTTTTTCCAACACTTTGATCAAGATTAGAACATTAATTATAAATGCTTCAGTTGCAACCAGTTTACAAAAATTGCTAGTTAGATCTCAATTTTTATTGCTAAAATCCTATTTGCCCCAAGATGTAATTTGTTAAAGCAAAAATGAATTAAATATCCATCTTTAATCCTATAACTTCAACACTAAAGAGCAGGGACATGGATCTGTTTGACTTTCCCCAGCGTGTGTATTACCTGACTCATTGGTTGTGAAGGTCACAGGGCTGCTGAATTGATTCCCATGGCCCACTCTGGTGTAACTGTACACACTGATCTCATAGGAGCTGTGAGGCCTGAAGCCTGACAGATGCTCTGTGGTCGACGAACCAGAGGAATTCTGCATTTGTTCCAACACACAACCAAATAAAACACAAATACAAGATTAAGATATCCAGATTCACTGATGGAGTGGATAAGATCAGTGTATCAGCACAGAAATGCACGCATGCGTTTAAGGATAATATTACCGCAAAGCAATACGTGGAGTGTGAAATTACCCCACGTACGTGTGCATTCTTCCTCAGTGGTTCTGTGGAGTGTGTGTGTGTGTGTGTGTGCGTGTGTGTGTGGGTGTGTGTGTGTGTGTGTAGGTGTGTGGGTGTGTGTGTGTACTGTTGTTATTGTGAAGAAGCTTTCAGTGTGTGAAATTAACAGTACCCGATGTGTGACGGTTTGTGTGATGAGGTCTTGGATCCGGAATCCGTACTTTATCACCACTCCATTAGGCTCCAGAGGAGATTCCCAGGTCAACCACACGGAAACGGCTGTGTGGTTGTATATAGTCAGGTTGCGGGGAGGGGAGGACGGACCTGGAGGGAAAAGTTCAGAAGACACAGTACAGAAAAAAAAAAAATCAAAATAGAAAATGATTAACTTGACTTCAGGCTTATAGAAATCTTTGGGATCTGCTTTCTAACTGACCGGCTTCATCAGTGTGAAGCTGTACAAGCAGGCTGGGCCCTGCGCCTTTACGCGTTGAGGCTGTGATGGTGAGGTTGTAAGCCGTAAATGACGCAAGTTCAGTGAGGATGACAGATGTGTTGGGGACCTGCGTTGTGTTTGTGCCCCCAGGTCCAGACAGAGTGAGGGTGTACTCTGTTATTTCTCCATTAGCCTCCAGAGGGCGTTGCCACACCACAGCGATGGAGGAGGAAGAAAGGTTTCTAGTTGACAACAGCAATGGAGGAGAACTGGGAACTAAAGAGAGAAAAATACAATCATCATTGCTGCTGTCTGCATGTCAGTGTAGAGCATAGTGTTGCTATGTCACGTTTTGTTATTGAAACCACAAATTATACTGTATTTTATTATTATAAATTACAAGAAATATAGTGAACTGTGTAGCTTCATCCATCCTGATCATCTTCCCTGTCCCTGCTGATGAAGAGCATCCCAACATCATGATGCTACTACCATCAAATATCTCCATGTGCTCCAGGCAGAGTTCACTTTCCTCCACATATTGTTATTTGCATAGAAGGTGCAACTTTGAAATTATCTGAAACTTGGCTTATCCCTTGTTTTTTTTACATACTGAGTTTGAATCACACACATCTATACTATTTACTTCTTCGAAGATCTCTAAATCCAATGGGTTGCACTGGAATATACTTATGGATGTCACAGTAAAAGGGCTGAAAGCAAATGCAAAACCTTTTGTATACTTATTTCTATGCACATTTTAGGAACTTTTTATTTGTCTAAATCAAAGTAGCGTACACTGCATTTAGTATTTGTAATGCGACAAAATGTGAAAATGTTTCAGTGGTCAAAATACTTTTGGGACAGAGTTACGAAGCAATCTCGAGAAAATGTTCTCACTAGTTTTTCTGGCATTAAGCAAATGTTAATAATTTTGATCACTGTAAGTAATCTAAAAGAAGAGAAGTCGATTTTCACTTCAGACAGTGAGAAAAAAGTATTTTTATTCAGATTATGTAAAGTTCTGGTTTCCACTATACCAGTTTGACAGATGAGTTCCATAAAAGAGAATGCATATGGTAAATTTGGATGTTGAAATAATAAAATAAACTATACTCACTGTCATCATCTGTTTTCAGGTACATGGTGCTGGTTTGATTGTAGGCAGGTCCAGCTCCCGTTGCTGGAGTAACAGTCAGTACATATGGAAAATACTTCCTCAGTCTGGTAAATAGGAAAACATTGTCGGTAGTGGTTTGCTTGATGGTCTTGTTCACAGCCACGGTCCCTGGGCTGCTCATGTTTGGGAATATGCCAGCCTCCTGTAAGGTGAGGATGTAGTAGGGACGGCCGTTTGGCTCCGTGGGAGGATCCCAGCTCACAATGATGATCGTGGAGCTGAAGATCTGAGCTGTCAGGTTTGAGACTGGGTCACTTGGCACTGCAAAAGGAAACATATAAAACAGTGTTAGCTTTACTGGACGCTACTTAAAACAGCAAAGAAAATTAAGAAGAATTTATTAACATGAAGGTGTCCGTCATTAAAACACAGTACAGCATTTCATTGGAAATAAACAGCAAACCGGTTAGGGCATCATGTAAAGTATTTCAAGTTAGTAGTCATAATTTCATTTACATTTATCAAAACAGTTGAAATTTGCATTTACAGAAATTCAGCTACTGTATAATATCAGCAGCGCAATGTGATATGCACATGGGGGACTTTGAAATAAAAGTTGCACACTGAAAATTTAGTGAAGTAAGAAGGAAAGATAAAAAGAAATACTCATCCTGTTCTTCTCAGCTCCTTTGGAAACACTTTTTCATACACAGAGTAGAAAAAAGGTAAATAAAGGGGAAATCAAGTGAATATCAAAGCTCATAAAAAAAAAATGGTTATAAAGAGTCTATGACCCGGTGAGTGAGCCCCTGCTGGGCTTGGCTGTGCAGGAGGGACAAGTTGCCCTGGAGGTCCGATGTTTGGCTGATAGTGGAGCAACTGGAGCACAGGCAGAGATACAGGGTCAGTATGAACATATGGAGACAGAGAATATTTCAAAAACTAAATGTCATTATTACAGCATGGCAGCAAAATCTGTTTTAAACAAAGTCTGGTGGCAGTCTGCACCATTTTTCCCAAAATCACATAAAAACCTAGAAAATCATTTTATTTTTACTAGACAAAAGCAAAAAAGCAAAAATAAAAGAAGCACAATTAAATATTGAATAGAAATATAGCCAATTTGATTCACTATGGAAACATAATTTTGGCAGCACAAAATCAAATAAATGTTCAAAAACCTTTTCAGTTCTGTGTTTCTTCCAAAGTTAGTATTTTTCTTATTTTTTGTTTTTTAATCCCTCATTTTTTATTTTTTTTTTGTCATGCATAAAATGCCTTTCTGTCACAGCCAAACAGTCTGACGTATTAACAGTTATCTCCAGTTACTGCCTGCCTGGAAGTCTCTGTATTGCAGAGTTTTTATGTAATTTTATTTCAAGGTAAGAGGAGATGTGAAAAAAAGAGTGCAGACTTGCCCTCCAGAAGTGCTGTGAATTATTACTCATACTTTTGAGCCTTAAATGGAATATAAAATAGGTATTTTGATATTCTTTTTTATAATTCTATGCAGATATATGCAGACTGTGGTATATTTGTGTTTCTGACTGACCGTCTTCTGGTAAGAGCAGGTTTATAGGTTCTGACTGGACCCCTCCGTCGCCCTGTATGGTGCTCGAAGTCATCCAGAGGGTGTAGTTGCTGCCTCCGATCAGTCGAGTCAGGGTGTAGATGAAGGGCGAGTTAGGGAAGTAACGGGGTGGTAAGTCTGACACTCGAACTCTCTGTGGAAAACCAGTTATTTCCACAAACTGAGTCAGGCATTTCTACAGTTGCACAAAGTATTCTGTGTACAAAGACGTGTGAAAAATAAACAAGAAACGTATTGATCAACACAAGCTGAATTTGTCATCCTTTCTAAAATGAGATGGTTTTCTTTCTGGAGTCATGGAACAAGCTGAAAAGAAGAAATTAGAAAAGTGTTTTGGCATGAAATGTACACAGCGAAGGTAATGACAAATGTCCATCACTGCTTCTTTAAATGAAAGTTAACATGTGTATTTTAACTCAGTATAATTCTGGTTGTTCTATGAAAGACTCAGATATGTGTTTAAGATCACTAAGAAACATCCTAAACTCTGAAGAGGTAAGAGGACAGATCAGGGGAAAAGTTGCTTTATCTCTTCTTTAAAAGTAGAAATCGTATGGAACAACTTTAATTCAGCATTATATTTAATTACATTTAAAATTAAATGAAATACCACAATTCTTTTATTTCCACAATTGTGAACTTCTTTGTGTGGGTCTATTAGAGAACAAGTATAAAACTAGTTAATGCAAGGCAGGTATTTCTGTGACCTCCTGCAGCTTTTTCTACAAAGTCAAAATGCTGAAAAAAGAAAAAGATATTTAGGAAAACATGAAAAAAAAAACCAATTCATCCCAATCGTACAGCAGCCAAGCGCTGAGCAGGGGAGAACTTTAAATTTAAGTTGCCCTACCAAAAGCCTTAAAACTTGTGATTTACCTTTTCTATCACAGTGCTGTTGTCGGTGTAGTAAATAGTGTAGTGCACAATGATTCCATTTGGTTCAGTCGGTGGTTGCCACATCAAGGTGACAGAGGAAGCGGTCACATTTACAACCGTCACATTCTGTGGCGGGTCAAATGGCTCTGAAAGACGAGACAGGAGACTGACCCAACATCACGTTGAAATACACAAAGAAAAGTTCATTTTGTATGCGAGGCAGCAATAAAGCTAGCTGTCACAGGCTGCAGTACCTGCTTCTGTGGTGGAAAAGCTGATATAGATCAGCACTCCTCCGTCTCCCAGTCTGGTCCAGCTGGAGACAGAGGCATTGTAGCGACTTTCTGAGTCCACATTAATAACCACAGATGTCTCTGTCACATTCTGCCACGTCTCAGCAGTTTCATTCCTAACAAAGTAAAAAAAAAGCAAAAAAATCCTCATGCCACACTGTCAAGTTCTTTCTTACCAATTTCTCACTTTTAAATAAAATGAGCAATTGTGATTTCCAGACTCACCAAACTCTGACCATGTAGTAGAGTATTTCTGAGTTGGCATTAAGTGGTGGCTCCCATGACAGTTCGACCTCATAGTCAGACAACTTTCTGGATTGCAGGAACTGAGGGGGGGTGTCTGGAGCTGAGATGCAGGAGAAAAACTTTCGAGTGATGCACGACAAACAAGAACTGAGAAGTTAGGTGCAATGACCTCTCAAAGATTTGGCAAGGTGCAAGGAAGAAAACTGTGACTGCTCCAAGAAAAATACCAAGAGAGGAATGGAATATTCTCCTGAAATGCAAAAACTGTTAGTTTGTTCTTCTTGTTGAAACAATTAGTCTGGATGAGACATACAGGGATCTTGTAGGCTGAGAAACCTGTGATGTAACATTGGTGTTAGTTGAAGCACAGAGACGCAACAGAGGAGAGAACCCATGCAAAAAGGTCTGATTTGATCAGATGGCCTCTGAACAAATCAGTCAGAGGAGATGTCATCTCACAAAAACCTGGAAGTGAAACCAAACCCCACCCCCTTTTCTCATTGCCAGCCCCCTTGCCCATTCCTCTCACCATCCTCAAGTGTGGTGATGTTGAGTGGCTCGCTGCTGTAGTTTCCTGGCCCTGCTCGAGTGTGTGCTTGAACCACGATGCGGTACTGAGCGTACTTCCTCAGGTGGGTGATGTGGAGGGAGTTGGCCGGTGAGGTGAGGTTCAGGCGATGAGTGGAGTTCCAGAGCTCCAGGCTGTAGTGAGTAACAACGCCGTTTGGCTGCAGAGGAGCGGACCATGACACATTCACCTCACTGGGGCTGATTGACTCGTAGGAAAGTCCATATGGAGGACTGCCTGGAACTACAGATGGAACACAAACAGGGTCTGATATAGTTTCTCGTTGTTCTTCCATGTGTGTATTTGTGGAAACTGCCATGCAGGGATTGTATATTTTAAACCTTTTCACATTTTGTCATGTTACAACCACAAATCTCAATGTCATTTATTGGGATTACGTGTCACAGTAGAGAGCATAGTTTATATTGTCTTTTTCTTGGAATAGGAAAACAGTTCAAGGTGGATCGAGCATAGGCAAAGACACAGAACCATTTTTTTTTTGCTACATGGATCAAAGTCACTGAGCTGAAAGTATTGCTGGTGACAGAAGAATTTGATTTCCAGAGATGACTTATTATTTGGGCACTAGGAAATTAAAATGACAACAAAAACGAGTTTCATAAAAGATAAACACTTTCCTTTTTAAGATGTATTTATCAATGAAACTATTGCCCCAGCAGGTGTCCACCGACTTTAATTGCCTGTGACGGCAGTTCAGATTTGTACCATTTTAAAGTTGCAATAACGGGCCACACAAAACCTCTTTATGGGCTTGCAAATGGCCCACAGGCCAGACTTTGAGCACCCACGTGCACCAACCCATTAGAGTGGCCCAGTCAAAGTTGAGATTTAAAATCTTGTGCAAGACATAACATAGATCTGCATAGATGTTTATCCATTCGAACTGAGCCCGAAGAACTTTGCAAAGAAGAATTAAAATATACATTTTCTGCTTTTTCTGCTATTTTGTTTTTTGTTTTCCATCAAATAATATCCAAATAATAAAAATTGGAGTTGGAAGTTATAAAATGACAAATCATGGCCAGGGTCAAGAAGCTTAAACACTACTGCACATCTTTCAACACACCATCTTCTCCAGACAGCAGGTTCAACGTTTCGGACGTTTGGTTGCCGTTGCCGTAACGAGTGTATGCCCTCACAGACACGTTGTAAAATGAGAATGGCTTTAAGCTGGTCAGAGTTACTCTGTTTGAAGTGGTATTTATCACTGCAAAGTAGGAGTCGTTTTCATAGAAGACCTCATAGTACTGGATCACTCCATTAGCTTTCTCTGGAGCAGACCAGGTCAAAGTGGCTGTAGAGGGACTCGTTTCAACCACTGAGAGATTTTCAGGAGGGGAGTCTGGCTCTGTGAAAAAGATAGGAAGCATATTAACCAGAGAAGATTTCAAACTTTTTAGATAAAATAACAAACAGAGAATCCAGGCACTCAATATCCTTGAAATTTTGAGAAGGAAAATCTTGATGTTCTTTTTTTTTATTGCAATAGCGTAATAAGTTTTCAACAGTGAAAATTAGATAGAAATTGTGTGTGTCTAATTATTTCATACCATCCTCTAAAGTAAAGACAAAAACATCATCCTCCTCTGACAGAGTGCTCTCTCCCACAGCTGTAGATGCAGCTACACGTAGCTTGTAGCCCGTATACTTGTCCAGATCTAAACATCAAACCAGACAAAAAAAAGAAAAAAAAAACATGCATTGACATATATTCTCCAGACTCTAAAGTACACAGTCTTGAAAAGAAAAATCAGCACGATATATTGGTATTTTCTCATGGAATGAACTCTGTACCTGCTATTAATATGCTGGTGGTGTTAGTAACCCACTTCATGGCTTGATTGCTGCGCAGATTGAGGCCGTATACGCTGTAATGTGTGATACGCCCATTGGGATTGAGTGGCGGGACCCAATTCACAAGAATTGATGTGGAGCTTATATTTTGATAGGACACTTCAAGCACCGAGCTGGGAACTAGAAAGAAAATGCAAGATGTTATTGCAGGTAAAGAAACTCTAGATTTAGACCAGGCTCCCAACAGGGCTCCCTCCTTTTGTTCATACCCTGCTCACTGGTCTTCTCAGTGATATCTGCAGCAGGTCCCTCCCCAGCAGTGGTGGAGGCAGTGACTCTGAACACATATTCAGTAAAAGGATTCAGATCCAACACCAAGTACGAAAGCTCCTCAGACAAGACGTCCACCACTTCTTTTCTCACGGTAACACCTGGGTCAGATATAGGGAGCACATGTTGTTCATGAGTGTACATAGAAAGTAAAGTGAAACATTAGAGTATATGGAGCAGTGTTTCACCTGGAGTTCCTGTTACTGCTCCACTGCGTGTTGAAATGTTCCCAGTAACTGAAACATCACGTGTGGACAGGCGCAGCTGTCCTGGAGTAAAACCCGAGGCGGAGGTGGATGAGGTCACCACATCTGTGTGTGACTGCTCCGTGAGCCAGGGTGGATGGGTATTATGTGACACAGAAGTCACAGGCAGAACGGACGTCCTAGAGCTGACATTGTCAAAAGACTGAGTAATGCTTTCTGAATCATAACCCGGGCTGGACTCATCGGCGAGTGCAAGGTGGAGGGTAGGCTGAAAATCAGTGTTGGCAGTGTGATCAGTGCTTCTGCTGTCTGAGCGAGTGAAGCTGGAGGCAGTCATTCCAGTGGGCGGAGTGCGGGCTGAAACTGTAGCCGTGAAAGTCGGTGGAGACGTGACCGGACTGAGCTCATCAGATCTCTTTTTACGCCTCAGAGTGTTGTCGACATTTGGAGGAAGTGTTTTATTCTCATATGAACCAGTTGTATTCTGAGGGAAGAAAGAAAAGCAAGATGCAAAAGTTAAATTTTACTTAGGATTCAATGGATGAGTGCATCCATTGAATCCTTTTGGAATAATAGCTAAGATTTACTGCTTTTGATGAACATATTTACATGAAATGGAAGTTAAATACCAGGAGTAAAACTAAATGTACAGGTAGGTTTGCACTTAAATACATCCCAAGAAACATCTGTTAGATGTAAAGGGAATGTCAGAATAAAATACAATTAAAGAAAATGAAGTAATTGTAAAACTTATATTTTTCTGACATTTATGTCAATGAAAATATTTAACTTGTCATGTTTAACACATCACAGGAGCACTAATTCACTACAATTTAAAATATTTAATATTTTAAATAAGTTTAGAATATGCTGATTTAGTCTTTATCTAAATAGACATTTTAGCAGTAGAACAAAACCAGTTATCTGGTGAATTAATGATGTCTTTATTGAACTTAAGGAAAAGATGAAGCATGTACAGTCACATGTAGCTATACAGTGAAATATCAGATCAAAAAAACTCATTATTTACATCACTTTTTAGCACATTATAATCACAATTTATTTTATGGAGAGGACATGTACTTGACCAACACAAAGTGGTACATATCTGTATGATTTAGAAAATGTATATATAAAAATCATACTTTATTATTGCTTCTCTTTAACCACCCTAAAATAAATTCAGTGCAACTACTTACTTTCAGAAGTTACCTACTCAGGAACTATACTCCACCAGTGTATAAATTAATATTAATGCAAATCCAGCTGTTCTTTGAAGGCCTCAGATGCTTGTTGGAGACACATCAGTGAACAAAGCGCATTTCATTATTGCAGCTACTTACTGAGCTATCATATATGATGTGAAACTGAAGCATCACCATTTTTTTAAGCACAATTTACATTTTAAAATCATGTAAACGGGGCTGTTTTACAGTTAATACCGTCCAAATGTTTTTTATGTTGAAGGACTGAGTTGCTAGTATCTCAGATTTTAAAAAGTTGTGGAAAGAGTTATATTTGCTTTACCCCTGATATGAGGGTGATGTCCTGCAGCAAAGTATCATCAGCCAGGACTTGCAGTCTGTATTGAGTTATGGGACCGTTGGGCTGTGCAGGGCTTCTCCAGCTAACACGAATTGAAACTGAATCCTCAGCTACTGCCTCCAGGTTTTGCACAGCGCTTGGTGCTGAAAAAGAACAAAAGCTTTTTCACTTATTTCTGTGAAAGCTTTCACGAGAATGGAAGACAGGTATGAGAGCGCATTTTACCTTCAGCTGGTGTTGTTACGACCTTCTGAGCTGCTGGTCCCACCTCTCCTGCAGCTTTTGCGCGGACAACTACTCTGTACATTGTGTAGGGAGTCAACCCAGTAAAAAGAAAACGCATATCCCATGTGCTGTTGTCATACAAAAAACCTGGGAAAAAGAAAGAAGCATATGTTTTGTGTTAATTGTTTACATGTGCGAATTTGATAAAATGTTTAAAATAATAAACAACCTGAAGGTCCATAAAGGTAAAGCACATAGGAGAACTTTCCAGTGATCTTGCTGGGAGAGTTCCATGACACAGAAATTGACCTGGATGTCCTGTTCAACACTAAAAGGTTTTCAGGTGGATCCTCGGGTGCTGTCATCATGAAACACAAAAGAACAGAAATATTATGAAATTCTGCTCGATATTTGACATATGGTCAAATATGCAACAATTCTGCAGTTTTTTTTTTTTTTTTTTTGTTCATCCACACCTGATTCAGGCATGCGGACCATGGTGGAGGCTACTTGTCCCTCTCCATCAGATGTAAATGCAGAAACCTCAAATAGATAGGCTGTGTAAGGCCGCAGCTGATCTACTCCTACTGATATGGGCACATTCCAAGAGGCTGCCGGCGGCACAGCAGAGAGGGTAATGGCTGGAGACGATGCAGTTATCTCCAAAGGGCTGGGAGTTGCTCGTGACAAAATATCAGCTGCATCCTGAAGACAAAAAATTATGAATAAATTAAATAGGGAAGAATTGTTTTTGAGGATATATCCATTTTTTGTGCCAGAATGATCTAGTACATTGCAGTGAGGGAGAGCTCCAGTCATGATTTCCTCTGCGTTGACTTCCAGTATGCGGACCGTCTGACCCGTTCGAGCATGTTTTGCTTTGACGGCAAACTTTGTGATGAGGCCATTAATGCGGTGTGGCAGGAACCAGGTAACAACGACGAAAGTGTGGTTTTGAGCATACGCCGTCAGATTGGTCACCAGTCCAGGGGCTGCAGGGAATGCATGAAAACACAAGTTTACTGCACATGTTTCATTTTGGATGAAAACAGGTCAGAATATGTTCTACTACTCACGTGACTCAGATGTCTTTATGTACAAAGGTTTGCTGAAAGGCCCTGTCCCAGCTGGAGACATAGCTGCTACCTAAAGAGAAAGAGAATTGTAACTGTTAAATATCCTTCTGTTTATCTTTTTTTATGTTGTTGTTTTTTTTTTTGTCTAAATAATTTTTCGAAGACTCACGGAGGCAATTTTTCTAGGCAGTTGACAGTATAATGCAGGCTCCTCATCTAAATCATTCCAGTGTAGGTCTGGCTGTGTGTTTATGATCATAAGGCTGATAAGGTGAACCTCCACCAGACTCAATTCAAGGTCAAGGTTTCTTTGACCTTGAATTGGCAATTGTTATTACAGCCAGCAGAAAATAAAATTCTGCTGGCTGTAATAAGCCAGCCATTATTGGTGAAAATAAATTCTCCAATAATAAATAAACACAGTAGTAGAATAAATAACACCGCAGAATACACAATACAAGAACATAAAAACCATAACTACTGGCAGTCACTTGAAATATTTAAAAGGACAGTGATGACAGGTAAAAATGAATTCTTAAATCTTTTGGTTCTATGGTTTTTTAAAGCAAATCTGCATCCTGAGAGTAAAAGGAAAAACTGTGAACAGGGGGTTGGACAGGTTCAGCTAAAACTGTCTGAGCTTTTTCTAGGGAATTTATTTTTGTGGAGAGTAGAAATGGTGTTCAGGAGGTCATTGGCAGTTTTCTTATTTCTTGTTTTGCGTTAATACCCCAAACCAGTAAATAAAAGAAAATCTAACTTAAGAACAAACAAATACTATAAATCATTCACTAAAACTGCAACTTATGTTAAAGTCCATTAATTTATGATAATTGCATGATAGGCTTCCCTGCCTTCCACATCCATGAAGCTGCATTACCTTTTGTCTATTGACAATGCAGGCTCTAACATACTTTCATCCATGACTGCCCTGTATTTAACTCCATCCATCATCAATTCTGTCAAACTTCACAATATTTGCTCAAGCTAATCAGCCACACAGCATGTTGCTGTCACCACCATGTTTCACAATAGGTGGACAAACATGTCTTGGTAGCTTAAAACCTGCTCCAAAGTCTTTCAGTTTATGAATGATTTATCAGTACTGCTTTATAACTTAACTGTGCTTTAAACTTGATCTTCATGATACTGTTTGTTCTCGAGCAAGACTTCACAGAGTCCTTTATTTTATTTTTTATTTTTTTATTATATTTGTTTTTCCTTAGTTATCTCTCTTAGGGTTTCCAAGTAAAGGGGGCTGACAGTACAAGCCAAAGAAACTTTTTTTGTATCATTTTCATTTCACTTCCAAATAATGCACTACATTGTGTTGGTCAGTTATGTAGAATAAGTTGCAATGTGGCAAAATTTAAAAAGCTTTTGAGAACATGAACACTCCAAGGGAGTGTGGTTTGTGTCACTTTTCTGCTTCCATAAACAAAACAATGTTTTAATGGGCCTTCAGAATAACCTCTGCTAGTAGAACTGGTAAACCCCTCTCAGAGATCCAGTAGGAATTGTATTCTGTTGGATTCATAAATTGGAGAGCCAACACAAATGCAGGGGAGGTGTAGTAACCCAATACATGAACACACTTTCATAATCCCATGCGAGCCCTCAAACAAATCCTGCGTGTGCGGGAAGTGTGTCATCTCTGCGTCCATTTGTATCAAGGTCATGGTGGGTTAATGGATTCTGAAAACTAATAAGCGTGATCACATTCAAGTTCAGTGACAACAGGCAGTGGAAAGAGCCTGGGCTGATCCATAGATCTGTTTACTTGATTAATAATGCAATCAGGCTTGATTACCTGCATTCAGCCAGATCAAGAGGATAGACTGCTCCTTTTGTGATCTCTGTCACAAAGCCACAGTGGAAAGTAAAAAAGTATAGTGGGGCAATTCCCAGGAATGTTTGAACAGAGGCAACAAGAATAGTTACATCTTTAAACTAGTAAGGCTAATTCATACTTTTAAATTAGTTTGATATATTTCTACTAATCCAAACATGCTTCTGTTAATGTTGTCTTATGTTCATGTCCCTCAAAATCAATCAATCTACAAATGATAAAAACATTGTTCCTCTTACCTGGATATGGTATGTTGAACCTGAGGTAAAGTCGGTGATCAATGTCTCTGGTACATCCAGGTACTTGGTCACCTGTGTGAAAGAGGGATCGGGGTACGGGCAAACCTCCTTGTACCTATAAAAAAATCAAACATCATTTTAGCAATGCCACATTTCTGTATTTCATTTTAAGCATGAACTTAAAATGCAAAAATGAAAATAATTTGGATTTCCAAGATGATCTTACTGCTGTGTGAAGCAGTTGCCGATCCACTGGATATCATTTTATGTGATCATTTTAAGAATTCTATTTTATATTTGAACTCAATTGAATTTATAATAAATCTTCTGTAAGTAGTCCTATAAAATATGGTTTTTCACACACAACAAATGCATAATTTTTCATTGTATTTGTTTATTAAAGAAAGCAATAAGTATTCCTGACACTGCAAATATAATCTGATAGATTGAGCTCAACAACCGTGTTGGGGACCCAAATAACGTCACACTACATTTAGCCACTCACGCACACATTGATATGCCAATGGTGGTAAGCTACATTGTAGCCACATTTGCCCTGGGGCAAGCTAACAGAAGTGCCATGCACCAGAACCACCAGACCCTCTGACCACCACCATCAGGCAAAGCAGGTGAAGTGTATAACATCAAATAGTGTCTTGGATTTTAGAAAAATAAAAATGTATGTCAACCAAATGCTCAGTAACACAGAAGGGAAAAAAATACCTGATGACATATCCATCGATATTGTTTGCATCTGATTGCATGGTCCAGGATAGCAGAATCCCATTAGAACCAACAGCTTCTCCTTCAAGGGTCAGCGGAGGACCGGGAACTACAGGAAAGAAAGGAAGAGCGTGTGAAGTGGAGAACAGCAGCACCCAGTGTGTCATTAACAAGCCCAGATGTGAATTAACTCAAGTTGGGTCTCAAAGTTAAGTATGTAGTTAGAACTATACACTCTCAATTTTTCTAATAAATTACTGTCCCTAGAAAGTGTTTGGTGCAAATTTTAAAGATTAGTATCCTTACAGCAAAGCCTACTGACAAAGTCCCAGCTTTGTTTAGAGTAGTTCATCTGGTCTTAGTGGAGGTGGTGTGTGTGTGGGAGTTTAAACATGTACATTCTATGTGGTTAAAGTCTGATGAATAGGGCTTCACACAGCAGTGCCATTTCACTGACATTCACTCCAGACGCATTCATCCAGGGGTTCAAAAGCTCCGGCTAAAGTTACCTAAAAGGAATTAAATAGTGAAGGAAGTGCACACATCCTCATGCACTCTCTACCGCTCAACTTCATCCGTTTGCCTCGTGTGTGTGCCATGTGCAGCGAATAAATGAAGCAGCAGGGCAACAACACGAGGAGAGCCTGATTGTACTTGAAACCACTTAAATAAATCAGACAAATCCAACAATGAGCACTGATTGTAAAACCATCTCACCACTCTCGTTTGTAATGATCATGCGACTGACTCCAGAGCTGCTTTTAGAAGAAGAGTCTGCAGAGACCGTCACCGAGTACTGTGTCCCAGGACTAACATCCACCACGTCAGCCTGTGGAAACAACAAAACACACCTGGTCCTCTGCTGTCTGTGCATGCAGACATCCTACAGCTGCAGTACCATTCGGGTTTCAGTGTGTTATTTTCTAAATGTTTTTTTGTGTCAATCAAAAATACTATGTGTTGTCTGTGTGCGGATGTTCTGATTTACGAAATGATGAATTAATATTTCACAATTCAAAATCTTCATTATTTAATTAAACCAATTTTGCTATTAAACATAACCGGTGTAAAAACAAGATGCTATTTTTTTTTCTTCAGTTAAGTTGTTAAATCATGAATAAATGATAAATGATCATTCCACTTCTCTTGGAAAACCTGAGTTTTATGTTACTACTGGGTCCTGATAAGAAAAGTCGAAAACAGAACTGTTCGGATAACATGAGATAGATAAAAACTGTCACAAAAGCAACAGATCAGTACACAGTGAAAAGAAATTCAAAAACAGTTATGAAGCAAACCCATTGATCTTCAGCAGTCTGGAACTCGCTACAAAGCAAATTTTAAAGTTTTAAGACTTTAGTGAAGTGCAATGAGAGGATTGCAAGAGGAGAAAACACAAAGTCGTGGGAAACCATCCCACTACTTTGGTCTATCTGAGTGAATCAATAACTAATCAAGAAGGTCAAAGAAGAACCAATAACAACATCTAAAGCCCTGCATGTCTCACTTGTGGTCATATTTCCACAATAAGAAAGACACTGAGCAATAAATAAACCCCAAGAAGAAAGCCACTGTCCATAACCCCCCCAAATTTTGTAAATTAAAAATAAAAAACAAAAAAACATCTAGATGATGTAAGTACCTGCTCAACTTGGGTTTTTGGGTTTTTCTAGTGTTTGCATTTTTGATCAGTTTTTGTTTATTTGTGCTCAGTCTGAGCTATTCTTTCTTTTCTGTTTCTGTCATCCTTGCCTACTTTTTTCTTATCTCTTGTTTATTAACTGATGCTTTGATCTCTCTGTGGTAGTTCCTTCTTTTGCATTTAGTTTGTTGTTTATTAGTGTTATTGGATTTCTGTCTTGCCTTTTCCCCACATTGTTTACTCCTCCTCTGCTCCTCTCACACCATTGCACTCTCTCTGTTCATCAGCCGGTCTGGCTTCCACTCTCAGTTGCAGTCTGTTTCCAATCTGTCACCTGTCACTGGTCAGTAATCAGACTCCACAGTACTTAAACTCCTCTCTCTTCTTCCCTCCTTGCTGGATTTTACTGTTTACTCCCATCCTCCACTTTTCCCCCATTGCTCCCTGCCTGCCTATTATCCCTTTGTTCCTTTAAATACCTGCTCAACTATTCTTATTGAAATGTTTAAGAGACACTTGCTGCCTGTGTATCACGGGTCCAGTCACCACTTAAACTTCAGCATATTTAGAAGATGATCATTCTGATTGAGAGACATTGCTGTCACCTTTGACTTTTTGCACGGGAGTTGCAATAGGAATTTCGTTGAATCCTGTTCAATGACAATAAATGCTATTCTATTCTATTCTATTCTATTCTATTCTATTCTATTCTATTCTATTCTATTCTATTCTATTCTATTCTATTCTATTCTATTCTATTAAACATTCATGAACATTGAATTAAAACAACTCTGCAAAAAAAAAAAGTGGCCAAAAGAAATGTGAAATATTATAAAACAGACTTCATTGCAAATGCTTACAGTAAATATAGTTTTTACTGTTAACAATCACAGAACCAGTTATTTCAGGTTTTGGGGCAATCACCTATTCAGGTTGGTTAAATTACAGTTTCCTCTTTTATCAATAAGATTTTTTGCATTAATTGAGATTATAACATTTGCATGATTACAATTAATGTGACAAAGAAAAAATCTTTAAAACCTATCTGCTTCAATATGAAAATTCTAAGCACATCAGATTATTGTCATATAATCCAATGAAACATTTCTTAAATTTCATAGTTTAAATTTTTCTGACTTAGTCGAGCTCAGTACTGCATTGATGGTGTGTAAAGCTCATAATAAACTCATTCTAAGTTGCATACAGAAGAGGTTAAAAGTTGCATAAATTAAAAAAGACATATTTCAAAAAAATAAAGATCAGATCAGCTGTTAAAGTTATTATTAGTATTTTGTTTCTTCTTTTCTAGGTTGGGTGTGTTTTAGACTGGTGAAAAGAAATGTTAAAATGATCAAAAATAAAAGCTGCAGTTTGTATTTAAATAAATGACCATCATACATTCTCAATTACAGAGCCCACTTAGGCCTGGATATTGAAGCTGGCAATATATAAGTGGAAAGCTTTGTAGAAAAAAATAAGATTTGCACCAATTCAGGTGTAGCTTGTTTTTAATGTTCTAACCAAGAGTAATCAGTATTTCAATATTCCCTTCTTAGATCTAAACAACCACACTTAAACTAAGCATTTCTAAATTAGTACCTACATGAACATTCTGTATGTAACAGCTCTATCTTAAGATAAAATATGTTTTGGAATATTATGATCTATGAGGAGAAGAAGCATAACCTAAGACTAGGAAGGAAGAAGACTGTAAAAGATAAAAGAATATTATTTATTTCAAAAAGGCCCTGCTGAAGAGGAAAACAAAATGGGAGATCTGGAGAAGGACTGAAGAAAAACTTTGAACTGTACAATTATATTCAAATAATTCAAATTTGTCCAATGAGGCTGATTTGTCAGATTAAAATACCTTTTTGAACATCAAAACCTTTAAGCATATCTTAGCCATTTCATAGCACAATCAAGAAACTTTACCTTCCCTTGATATGAAAATGTTGTGCATGTCAAACATATCTTAAAACAAATCAGCCGTTTCTCTTTGAAGAAACGGCTGTCTGACTCTCCCACTTCAGCACGTCATCAAAACAATGCTTCTTCTTTCATTGATTCATAGGTTTACAAAAGTCACTTTCCTTCTTTGTGTGTAATTTGATGTACCATGTCCACTGTACTGTACATAGTAAGCACAACCATTTATGAGGGACTTTTATAGATCTTCCTTCTTCCTTCTGTAGAGAAGCTTTCTTAAGGTGCTAAACTAATTTTCAAACTGGACTTTTCACCTTTCTACACTCCCAAAAGTACCAATAACTGGTTTAATGACCATGCAACTGCGCTTGATTGGTTAGCTTAGTGGCCTGGCCTGGAATCCAATAAAGACCCTTTGAGGTGTTACAAAGAGGAAGATGAGAAAAATTTGAGCCAATAACCCAAATGACGCAGAAGCCACTATCAGAGCAATCTGGGCTTCCAATACATCAGCACAGCCATAGGGTGATCGCCTCAGTGCTATGCTCTGAACATTTTTAATCAATATTCTATTTTTTGGAAAGACTGAATTTTGAATTTCCATAAAAATACAAAAAAATAAAGGCTTGAAATACTTAATTTTATGTATAATAAATCCATGTAAAATATGAGTTTCCATTTTGGAATGACTGATAAACAATTTGAGAACGGCTGGTTGAAATTAGCGTTCATAAATCAGATCAACCTTGATCTAAAAGCTGCTTGCTCCACGGATATTAGAATTTCCACTATCCAACTTGAAACACTATCCAACTGCAGTCGATAACACAATAATAACACAATGCTAAAGTTTGTTTTGTTCTGTGGCCTGTAAAGAAAGCACCTAGCAACTGCATAAGACGTAAATGCCCCACATTGTCTTACGCATTGACGTTGGTCCCAAAGCTTTATTGGCCAATAGTAGGAGCTGGACATGGAAGGTACATCTCCTTATTAAAATAAAGGTGCACCCAAAGAAGTAGAAAACGGAGCAGAGCAAGAAGTAGAAAAAGGAGAACTAGAAAAAGGAGAACCAGATAAAGGAGAACTAGAAAAAGGAGAGGAGGCAATGACAAAAAAGGAGGGCTTGTCTTAGGAAAACACTAAACAAAATATTTACTTTTCTTGAAAAAACCCCTGCATGTTTAGGGGAAATGAAAAAGAAAAAACATTTCTTGATGAAAACACACATGTAAGGAAAAGTAAAATTAATACAAATTTTTTGATGACAGCACATGTCAGCAAAGGGAAAACAAAATATACATTTCTTGAAGACAACAAAACTAAAGGACAAGAAAAATCTAAATAAAATCTAAATGTGAACAGAACTTGTCTTGCCATGTATTTTTAATTGGGTTGGGAAATTACTTTCACTTATAAAGAACATTCACACATTAGGAATGGCAATTAAATTGTTTTATTACAAATGTACAGCTTATGAGTTTCCATTATGATTTGAATTAATTAGAAATTAATTATTTCTAATTATGTCAGTTTTGGTCCTCCATACATGTAGGCATATCCTGATCCTTCATTTAATCACTCTATTATTGTATCCCTGACCTATCTGCTGTGTCTATCTGTTTTATTCTCCAATGTTCCCTAACAAACCTGAGGTGTACACGGGCTAAGTCACTTTTGAGGCCAGTTGTTTATACTGAATATATTTCGGGCTATCAAAGTAAAAGGCTTGAACTCAATGTCAAAAACATTGTCCTTACACTATCTAAATCTTGTACTTGATGAGGTCTTGGTCTGTGACATTTCAGTAAAACATTTCACATTTCAGTAAAACTCATTTCAGTAAAACTGTAATTTGCAAATTAGGAAATATGTGAAAAACTGCAGATATTAATAGGGGAATTCTTACCTGTGAATACACCTTTCCGAATTTGATTGTGAGCATTAAAATTGCTGAGAAGAACAACATATTGCAGAGTTTTGGAGTTAGTTTTTGTTTAGCCACAGCCGGTGAGAGGCTTTCTCTGTGTCCAGTCTTAGAGAATAAAAGTTAGCAGTTGAGAACAATTTAAAGCATTGATCATCCAGACATTGGGTGAAAATAATATCTTGATCTTGAGATATTCCAAAATTTTAGTAAATCCTTTGACTGGCACAAAGCTAAAGCTATACCGCTTGTCTCTTTGCCTCTTTTGGGAGAGTTGCTTAAGTTAATGAATGATTCAGAACTGAGCTCATGAAGCTAACTTAATAAATAATGTGATCCATTACTCAACCCTGCACTGTGTTTTGTCTCCATGGGTGTGTATGTATGTGTGCGGTGTGTAAGGTTACATTTTGGGAGATACTGGATACCTGGCAGCCAGTATGGGGTGGGACTTGGTTGAATGGGAGGAGAGATGCTTCAATGTACATAGGGAGATGCTACTAAATTCTCACAATAAAAAAAAAAAAGTACTTGAAACCTTAACTTTCAGCAAAGTAACTGTGCTAACACCATCCTGATGGTGTCCTACTAGAAAAAAGACTGCATATTTCCTATGATTTCATTTAAAGTGTGTGTACCTGAATGTATCCATCATAGGCAGGGTGAAATATCACTCTGCCATGGTTTGGCACCAAGTTAACTTGGTAGCGATCTACACATCCCTCTGCTTGCAGCCAGCGTAGTGAGAATGCCCGTCCAGAAATGCTGACCAACCGGACACCTCTCACAGGCTTTGGCACTAATAAGAAACAGAAAAATAAGAAACAGAGTCAGAGTGGAGGAGAATGTTTCTATAATTTAACACAGACTCGTTGAGTTTGGGCATGATTAACTGGGAGTCTAATTGGTGAAGCCCTTGAAATAACCACCTGTGGTGACAGTCACAAAAGCAGCACTTCCTGCTGTCTCCCCTCTCACTCTCCTGATGCTCACATTGTAGCTGCAGCCATCCAGTAGCCCTGTAACCACAGCAACCTGCTCCCCTTTTGGTATTATGAGTGTTTGTGTGATCGAAGCGCCGGCCACCGTCAATCTGTGAAAGTCAAACTCTCCAGGCGCCTCGTCCCAATGCACAGATATGGACGAAGAATCCACTTTATCTAAATGAAGTCGGCAGAATCCTGCAGGGCCTGGAAGACGAATCTGAAGTTAGGAAATTTTCCAAATATTTTTAGGGAAATGCCCTGAAATATAGACGATAGATTATTTCTGTTGCTTACGTGTGCTGAACTCTCTCTTTGCTGCACGGCTGCTGTCTAAGCCCAGGATACTCTGAATGCTGACACCATAGTCTGACCCCGGGATCAACTCTCTGATCTCATAGCTTGTGCTCTCAACAAACACTCCAGTCCACAATTCCCTGTCCACGGACAAGAGACCAGATGCAAGCTGCCGAAGAGACCGTCAGTGTTAAAATGTTATTAAAAATAATCTTTAATAAATAACAATGAAAATGTTAGTTTTGTGAATTCTTGATTCAAGATGTTTTGAACAATCCCCCTTTACTTTAATTGTATTTTTCAAAACTGTGCTTAGTTATTGTTCTGAGCTAAATCTGAATGTCATTTATCTCTAAAGGGTTGTAACCAGATCCTTAGTGTGCCAACAGTGGTTACCTGACAACCACTTAATAAATGCAGGTCACAGCTGAGTATTATATTTTGACATAGATGTTTAGAAATATCAAGTACGCCAGGATTATTTTTTTTTTGAAGTCATAAAGTTGGATTATCTTTTGTAAAATGCAAGTGAATTCTTGGACAGATTTGGCAGATTCAACATCTCACCTTGTACTTGTCTACCTGTCCTGCTGGTGGCCTCCAGGTCACAAATACAGACGTCACTGGGTGCTCCGATGTAACCACTTGCTTTGGCATCCCTGGAACTTGAGACAAGAAGTATGTTTCTTAATGATACTGAAACTATGAAAATGCAAAAAATAATAAGTTTGCCAGACAGTGTGCAGGCAGACATTTACCTCTGGCAAATTTAGATTTAAAATGATCACCCTTGAACCAAAAAGTTTGTATTGGCTAGAATATGAAAGTTATCTCTCATAAGATAATAAAAAGGTAAAAATGATGTAATTTTGTAAAAAAAAAAAAAAAAAAAAAAAAGATTACAGCAAACAGACAACTCCTAAATTTTTCCCCATGTTTTCACATGAACAATTTGAACAATTTGAACAATTTATCTTTAGTGATAAAGATAAATTGTTGAAGCCTCAACAATTTCTTTACATCACCCTAATTTTTAGCTCCCTCCAAAGATTCTCTCTCTGATTCTAAATTCCAGTCAGACAAAACATGTTGGTAAAATCTCAAGATTGCTTAAAGCCAAAAACTGCCACACGTATACATCATTTTGGGCTTTGCAGGACACCTGCAGATTTTTACAGACACATTTTAACTCACGTGTATACAGAATTACAGTCGAAGGTTTACTTCTCCTCTCCCCATTGATGGTAAATACCTCAATCGTATACTTAGTCCCAGGAACAAGACCTTGGAAATTGTATGATCTGCAAACACACACACATGAGCACACACATGAGCACACATGCATTGCTTTGGCAGTCAGTCTTTTCAGGAGCAGGTTTCAGTCAGCGATAACAACTCTGGGTTCATATTAATTTTGATTGTGGCAGAATGAGAAGAGACTGGCCTGTGTTCCTGATGAGAAATGATCAGCTCCTGAATGGTTGTTGTGTTTTTGATAGACAGAATGAATGAGCTCAGCAGTCCTCTGGCGGTACTCCAGCTAATGCATATGGATGATGTTGTTTTATTGACGAGTGAAACCTCCACTTGGCCAGGAACTGCCACATCAAAAAGCAAAGCATGTGGTCATTATAGAAAAGAAAGATGAACTGTTACAATGTGTGTGTGCGTGGGTGCATGTGCGTGTGTGTTTACCTGCAGTGATATTGATTGAGACCGGTGAACTGTCAGCAAAGGACTCCTTCTCTGCACGTACAGCAAAGTGATAGAGTGAACCTGGTATCAAATCAGAAAACACTGCACTCTGACTGAATACCTTCTGCACCTGTAACACACAAATCAATAGGCAAATGCTGTAATAATTACAGTAGCGCATTAATTACCGAGGAACAAAACATTGTACTGGTGTCCATATTAAAATGTTATGCATAAAAACATGCAATCAGCTAATCATAGCAATCCAACAATGACCAAAGGGGCATTGCATAATGTGGGTAATAATAAATTTTGATGTATCTGCTTCCAAACATGAGAAAACATTTACATTTCTATTTGTTCATTCATTCATTAATTTATTTATTCACCTTGAGTGCCTGGCCACAGTTGTGGCAGATGACCTCATAGCTCTGACCCTTTCCTGGTGCCGGATCCCAAAGCAGCTCTATGGATGTTTCTGTCACTACTCCTTCCCTCACTCTGCTAGGTGGAACCAGACCTAAAATCAAACATATTATCACAAAACATGCACTAGAGCATTGTACTTGTTCTTATAACACAATGAAAAACATGAAAGGACACACAAACAGGAGAGAATAAATACTTTTTGTACAAGATTTCAAGCAAAATGAGTGATGTTAAGGACTACTCTTATTACATGTTTAAAGAAAATAAATCATTTTGTCTGTGAAACATCCCCATGGTTTATAATAAGACATATCTTGTAAATTTTACTGCTAAGCCTTACTATGCGTAGCAAAACCTAAAAAAAATGCAGACTTCTATTATTTTCTAAATCAATGTATCATTAAACTCCAAATCTTCAAAGATATGAAGCAGATGTGATCCGCTCCCAAGATTAGGCCAGATTAAATTTTAAATCTGGTTAGTGACAGTTGCATGAAATGATGATGCAAAAAAGAAAAAAAAAAGACTGATGCCAAATATGGATGGTGACAACAGTGTATCGGGTGCAATTTATTTTTCTATTTAGCTGTCATGAAAGCACACGTAGAAACTATAAAACAGATTTTGATTTGACACTTAATCTCAGTCAAATGTCACAGTATCAATCAAATGTTGCAAAAAGAAGTGTCTCATATCACAATTAATTTCATATGATATGAGACTTCTTTCTAATTACAGGATAGGTGAGATTTTTAAGTTTAATGGAACTGACAAATATTGTGACAGTTCACCGGTCTCAACAAAGACACGTCAAGCTTTTATGCAGAAACTATAGTTTTACGTGTTAACTCCAAAATGATTTACACTCGGTTGCCAAACATATTTGCTTGACTTCCTTTGCGCACACTTGAATCCCATTCAAGTAAGAAGTTTGCCATCCAATTGTAGTTTTAACATTTTCAGCTCTTCTTGGAACAATTTCCACAAGGTGTTGGAGAGTCTTTATGGACATTTTTTATCGATCCTGTAGAAGTGCATTTGTGCGCTCAGACTGTTTAACAAGAAGGACAAACTCTCATTTCCCATTGCAATTAATCTCTAAGGTGTTCTGTTGAGTTGGGTGGACCAAACAGGCATATCCATGTCTTTTTGAATCTTGCTTCATGCTCAGTCACTTTAGACAGGAAAGACTCATTCACAAAGTTGCCTAAAAGCATACCAATGTATGATGAAACATTAAGTTCTCTCCACTCTGAAAAAGATAGGTCAAGCCCAACTCTGAAAGAGAGCACCACACTATGATTCTACCCTCATTCTGAGATTCAAATATTCCTCAAACACACATGAAAGAATCAAAACCACACTCCAGGTATGTTTTTGATATTAGAATATTATTGTATCATGACATAAATTTAAAAAGTTTTATATAATTCTCCCACCTGCCCATAAAGCTTTGTTCATTTTGTTAGAAGTTTTTTTCACTAATGGCAAAGTGAAAAAAAAAACAACAACAAAAAAGTAAATTAATATTGACTGGGAAGGTTCTCTACTCTGAAAAGGATTTAGTGAAATCAAATATCAAATAAATAAGTCTTGTCATCTTTTTTTTTTTTTAAGTAAAAAAACACACAAAGTAAAAAAACCTAAATATTGTTATCACTGGGAGGCAACTTACTTGTTTTAATGGGACGGGTGTAGAATGGTGGCCCCACTTTCTCTTTAACAGTGCTGTACACACTGAGCTGGTACTGTGATCCTGGAGTAAGGTTGTTGATGGTTGCAATGAAAATGCCAGCGGGGAGGGAATGCCAGTCACAAGTGGCACACAATTCCTTACATGTCCTGTTGCAAACGCCAAGACACGAACACACTTTGACCCCGTCAATCAGACCCACCCGTGGAGGCAGAACATACAGCTGCGTGTAGTTTGTCCCCACAGCAAGAGGGACTGCAACCTGCACAGGCATCGGAGCTGCATCCACAAACACAAACACAGGAGTTAAAAACACATTTTAAAAATGCCTTGTATTATCACGGGTTGTATTTTTATTTCTCTCACCTGTGGTGTAGACAGTAATGGACCTCTCGCTTCTGTCATTTCCCCTCATGGCAACGACTGCTACTTCATATGTGTGACTAGGAGTAAATGTGCCCAAATTAACACAAATGGATTCATCTTTTCTGAGTCCATCAGCGCTGGAGTCGTTTATCCATAGCGAAGAAGAAGCAGGACTATTAAACGATTGGGTTGTCACGTAATATGCATCTGGAGGACTGCTAGGTGGAACCATCCAGCAAGCTGACAGGCTGTCATTCTTGCTAAACATCACCAGATCAGCAGGAGGCTTTATTGCTAAGGGATACAAATAAAGCATTATTCTATTTATTTTCCCCCAACAGTAAATTTAACCATAAGAAAATGTAAATATCTAAAAGTAAACTCTGTTTGAAAATGTTTACTTGATTTTTTTTTTCCATCTGGACTGCAGTTATTTAGTAAAAAAAAAAAAAAAAAAAAAAAATCAGTGTAAGATTTTGCTAAGAAAAAAGAACTTTTAAAATAAAAAATTAATGATGCAGTGCCTATAAAAAGTACTTGCCCTCTTGCATGTTTTATCCTCATGTTTCTTTCACAAATCAATCATGATCAAAATGTAGGAAGATCCTGACAGGCAATTTTCCAGCAAGACAATGATCTGAAGCGTGTCGCTAAAGCTACACAGAAAGGGTTTGAAGACAACAAGGTGGATATTCTGGAGTGGCCGAGTCAATGCCCTGACTTCGATTTGATGGAGAACTTGTGACAGGACTTGAAAAGGTCCGTTCACAGCAGATCCCATGCAACCTGACAGAGCCAAGGAAGAATGGACTAACATTGCACAATTTAAATACACAAGTCTGACTGAGGCCTATCCACAACCACCCTGTGCTGTCACAGGACAGTGCATCCACTAAATACCATTTAATATGAACATTTATGCAATATTTAATTTTGAGTTAATTGTTTAAAGATTAAGTTAATTTTGTAGAACTTACTTTTCAGCTTGAAATTGAAGAGGATATTTTTTAAATTTTATGATCAAAATACGTTTTATAGGCACTGTTTTGTAGTTATGCTTGTGATGCTAATTACTAAAATAGTAATAGCAGTTGAATATATCAAATATTCTTATTATAAAATAACAGTAAAAATAAAATGTTTTAATGACATCCTCTAACAAACAACACATTTCCCCTGATTCTAGTGATTGGTGGTCAACACATCACTGTGGCTTGACTAAAAATATTATACATAGTGTTTTTTATGTCTTTCTACAATATAGTTGTTCTAGATTGGCTAAAGTCTGCAGGTCAAAGGTTTACAAACCTTGAGATTGGAAATTGTAAAGACCCTCTTTAACATGGACATTACTCAAAGCAATAATTACAATTCAAAAGTAAAGAAATTTAATTCTGGATAGATATCCATTATGTTACAATAAAATTCTGTGCAAAACTCTTGAGTCATCCCTCAGTTCTTGACATTTTGCTTCCAAGAATCACAATCATAGTATTTTGAAGTGCTTTTGAGCAATATTAAAGCTGTCACAATTTTTTTTTAAACAATTTTTTTTCCACAAAAGACTCTTAGATGTCATTGAATCTTTAAAAATTGTAACAGTTACTGCCTTTGTTTCAAACATGCTTACCAGTGCGCACAGTTAGAGGTGCCTGACCACAGCTCCATATTCCAAACTGTGCAATTGTGAAGACTTGAATTCTGTATCTTGTGTAGGCATCAAGTCCTCCAATCATAGCTGTGTAGAACCACTTCCTGTTGGTCCCATAGACCCTGGAGATGTTGCTAACTCCTCTCTCCTGTCTCAAGGACACATCTTCACAGTGTACAGCAAATGCCCACCCAGCTGTGCACTGAGTGCTCGGCAGCATCCAGTGTAAAGTAATCTGACCAGCTGTTATTGATCCAACAGAAATATTTTGAGGATGAAGCGGCCCTGCAGGCATAAATATTCCACTTTATGAGATGTTTGCATAATGAGTTTGTTACGTATGTTGTGATAAGTTGTCAGCTGACTCACTCATGTATGCGGTCTGTATTTGTCCCAAAATCCAGCTGGGGCCAGCATGGTGAGAGACTTGAAGGGTGAAAAAGTAAATGCTCCCCGGGGTCAAACCTGTCACAGTTACCCCTCTGGAGGAGTGAAGAATCTTAACTTTTACTGTTTTTCTGAAACTCAATTGGGTTTTCTTCCTGTTTTTCCCCTCTGACTCCTTGCATCCATCTTCTTCACCATGACCCAAAAGGGCATTTTCACTTTCTCTATACTGGAGGAATATCTCAAAAGATGAAGGCTGAGTAGAGAGCAGGGGTGAAAAGTCACTCCATCGAAACTCTACATGCTGGTCTGTCACCTGAGCCAGGTCGAATGAAAATGATGCAGGAGTAAAAGGAGCTGTTAGATGGAAAAATAGGTACATGAAACACTAAAGTGGCATTTAAGGCACATAAGAGTTAATCCTTTTACAGCTAAGTGTTGTTCTTAGTTCTTATTAACTCTAAGTGACACAAAGTACATACACATCATATTTTAGAGGTAGAAAAACTACAAAAAACTACAACATAATCCAAATAAATCAAAGAAGAGTCATAGGTCATTTCAAAACAAACTTTTTGAAGCAAAACATTTCAACCACATGAGAGTTAGTGTGTTAGTGTGCTGGTAAGATTTGGAGCACAATAATTATTTGAATGTTTTGTTTAGACTAAAATCAACTTGGAGCTGAAGACTTTGTTGTCTCTCCTTTTGTCTTGGATGGAGACTATCATGTAATGATGCCTATGTTTCAGGTTCCAGACATAGGCATCATTGCTTTTTTCCCCCAAATTTGTTCAATTCCTGACATGGAAATAAATGTAAGTATCACGAGCAACAAGCATGAACAAATCTGAAGAGGAAAATTGCAAAAATGATGATACAGATCGTTAAGTGACATTCAATAGAATCAGCAGGATCTGGTTACTAGAGATGTACTGTGTAAGCAATTTACTCTGGTATTGGCAGATGAATGGCAAAGTGATGTCACAGAAGAAAGGAGTCAGGAAGTATCCTGTTCCTGTAGCATTCCTCTGAAAAGCAAAACAGTCCGTCTGATTGGCTGGCAGTAGAGTCATTGTGTTTGTTTGATTATATGGCGAACCATCAGACCAGAGTGGGAGGCCTTCCTCCTGTTGGGAGATGAGGGTAGACATTATGTGCTGAATAGACCTAACCACTAATTAATGCATCAAAAACAAACCTCCTCTTTAAGGAGGAACTGATGGCATGAAGCGTTTACAGTTTGTAAAGTAAACTAATTTTACCTGCTGACTAAAACTTCAGTGACTACTTTTGATGCTTTCAAAATGGCAGCATCAAATTTTTAAATGTCTAGTAATTAAATTTTATATAGCTGATATTTTGAAAGAAAATAAGTGCTTGTTTTGTGCTTAAACTGACTAGAAATAATCTTTGAGAACCTAAGTCCAGTTAAGAACATATAGCAAGACATGCAAATCTACAACTGCTGTGACTTAGATGATTTTATAGAGAGGGACTGTAAGACACTCAATCTCCATGTGAAGAAAGCTGTAGGTTTCTTAACAAACCTATGTTTTTACTATCCACATTCCAGAACCATGTTTACGTAAAACTGGTTACCTGTTGGTCATTAAGACCTGTCCACAGCAGCAGCAGGTTGTTGTCGCTCTGAAGGTAAGAAGATACAAACAGCAGATCTTCCATGGTCTTCAGGTCAGCCAGGTGGCTTTCCCCCACCAGCTGTCTGCAGCTGCTCATCGCATCACTCCAACTCAAACCCGATCTCCTCACGGTGTAGCAACTCCTCCCATTGGCCAACCAGCCGTCTGGACACTGATCTGCAGCCAGACATTATCAGATTGGAGTACAGTGGAAAGCCTCCTAACAGTCAGCTTTCTGTCTGAAGATAAAGCTGCTGTCTTGTGTTTCTTGGAGAGTACAGTACCTGTTTCCATAAAAATCCTGAGTTTCTGCATTAATGTGATGCCAGGTTGAGGGAGGAAAATGGCCACCATGACTTCAACCATGTAATGTGTGCCAGGCTGGAGATTTTTTATTGTTAACTTGGACTGGATCGCTGAAGAGCTTATGCTATTGATTCGAGTGACAGACTGTGTGTGCATGTTGTGTAGAGTCAAGGTGGAAATGCTCTGCTGTCTGTGAAGTGGTTCCCATTTCAGCTGGGCAGTCGAGGTGGTGCTTGTTGCACAAAAGGAGGAAAGGGATACCGGAACTGGGGAGACAACAATATGATTAACCTCATCTTTACAAATAAACTAAACTTATTTAACAGGAAAACGACTGTCTGTGTAGAAACCAATTAAATGTGAGGCAAACATTTATTTAAATCTATAGTTTAGAGACACTCACTGAAGTGAAAGTTCTTTGTCTCCAGCACTGAATCATTCCTTTTTGCGCTCAGCACGATACTATACCTCCTATGATCTTCACTCATATGCAATCGTATCCTGCAGTCAGGAGAGCATGCTGAGCGATCAATGTGCTTAGAGAAGATCTGCCAAAAATACTGAGACAGAGATTAAGAAATTAAAATACCACATCGTAAAACGTGTAAATGTGACAAACAGAGATGCTGGATTCCATATTTTAAATAGCTGTTCTTACCAATGGGCTATCTGCAGGGCTGCAGGTGGCTGTGTAGCTGTCTACCTCTGAGTCAGAGGGGAACGATTCAAATGCCACTTCAATCTCAACAGGATGTGAACGTTGGTCACAAGTCAACAAAACTACCTGCAATTTTCACAAAGTAAATATTGGTACAAAGCCGTGCAAAGGTCTTGAGCAGTTTGTCACATTTCCACTACATTACAACAACTTTGTTATTTCAACATTTGATTTGATAGACTCACACAAGGTAGTATGTAATTGTGGAGTAGAAGGAAAAAATAGGTTTTTCTTTAAGATTTTATAGCACTAGCAGCCTCTATTGACAAAAATCACACAGATAATGAGCAGAGAAGGAAACAGCAAGGTTAGGATTTGAGCCCCAGATTGATTCCCCCCAGTCTTCACTTTTCATTTTATAATCCTATTTTGTTGTAGAGTTCACAGATTGCAGCACATTTTTCAGTGTTAAGCAAGCAATCTGCTATGTCTGTGTTAGGTATGTTGGGTCCTTTTCAGAATTAGTATTAATTTAGCTCTTTCAGAACAATTTTAGCTGATTATTTACTGCTTTGTAATCAAATATGTCCACAGAAATTGCACACAAAAATTACACACAAAACATGTGGTTCACAACTTGTGAAAAACAACTTGGAAAAAGTGCAAACTAATTCTTTGACATTAGAAAATTTTGAGGCAAAGAAGCACAAACATCTATAAACGTAATAATCTTACCTGCCATAAACTGCAAAGCAGCAAAAAATGCTTTGTTTGAGTCATTGGGAATTGGTTTTAAAATGTCATACATCCCACAAAAGAGTCTCCTTTCATTATCAATCACCTAGAGCAGAGTGCCTTCATCCATCCAATCCAAGAATGGTGTTTTCAGCCATTGATGGCCTTTATATGAAAACCCAAAGTTGTTGTATGTAAGCATCTCCTGTGTCTCCTCGGTGGAATGATTTATTTTCTGAAACTGTTTGGAAGCTATCACTTTGTTCTAACTTATCTATATGCAGCATCTAAATTTTAAATTTAGCATGTACAAGGAGTAAAAGTTTTACACAAGAAGCAAAACGTTTCTCATTAGCTGGAGGAGGAGAAAAAAGAGGAGGTGGAGGATGCATACAAGAAAGTGGGAGTTTGAGAATTTGTTAGTCTTAGCCAATTCACCCTGCCTCCTTGTTGAGATTAAAAACAATTCACCATGACAACCAGGAGGACACAGGGTGCTGAGCTGCGTTGGGATTGGAATGTCCTCGCTGGAAAATGCTGTATTTAGTCCAGGTATTGTTTTTACAATATTATTCAGCCTCTAAAGTTGAAATTTGCTGAATTTATGTCATCCTGTCATCCTATCTGAAATGTGAATAATTTGGCTTAGAACTGGTGACCCATACTGAATGACAGTAATGATAAAAAAGAGAAAGAAATAATTGACAGATAAAAAAAGAAATATTAACTGTGATGTTCTGCTATTAAAAAGCAACTTTCACTTAATAATGACCTCTCAGAAGTTAAATTATAAAACACATGTTTTCTGCTGCTGCTAAGTTGGAACATATATATATATATATATATATATATATATATATATATATATATATATATATATATATATATATATATATATATCTGTGTGTGTGTGTGTGTGTGGGTGTGTGGGGGTGTGTGTGCGTGAGTGTGCGTGTGTGTATAATAAAGCAGATGCATGAAGTAAAAAGTGTCATCTGGGCTCATTAACTGAGACATAAGCACTATCAAGTCCTTTATTACACAGAGTTACTTCACAAAAAACAAACAAAAAAAAACAACAGCTTAAATTTTCTATAGAACCACACCACAAAGTTATATTTATCAGATAATGCAAAGCAAATGCACTTTATAATCTGAATAAACAGCTTGTCAATGTAGGAACTGCTGTTTTAACCTATTAGCTGTTGATATGCAGAAAAAATGTACAACTAATCTGGAAGCCCAAGTAAAACTGACAGGGACTCACATAGTGGGTTTTAATAAAATAGACAGCTAAAGTGCAGACAAAACTACTGGAAGTCTCACATCAGTATTTTCTATCAAAACTGCTACTCAAGATCAGTTTTGTCCAGTCAGCTATCATAAAAAAACAAAAGAAAATAAAAGAAAAATGGCTGTTTTTTTCATGGTTGGCCAGTTTTACAATATTAATTCAAATGCACCCCATAAAAAATTCTTTTGTATTGGTCAAACACTTAATCGTATTTCTAGTTCCATTGGCAGGAACAGTCAAGAGGTTCCTGGAAGTTGTAGTCCACCATGCTGGCGTTCCGAGAACAGTACAATGAGATGGTCCGTGTTTGAAGTCCACTCTCACGGCAGCACTTACAGAACCTTGCGTGACTGTTGATGTTAAAGTTGAATATGGTGGCAGATGGACATTTTCCATCACATGAATACACTGTAACCTAGAAGGAAAGGAGCAGAACCTGATGAGGACACAAGTGCAAAGTTGGGAACACATGGCTTTTATGTAAAAATATTTTTCACCAATCACTACGTCTCATTCTATATTTGCGTGTTTCATTTAGTGCATCTTACTGGTGCGTTGCTCCTGCAGTCGTCCTTTCTAATGGTCGTCCGAATGGCCACACGCTTACATGTCTTTCCATCCTCTTTACCTGGGTATTTTGATAGGGAGTTCATATTCATACATCAGAAAGTGGTCAAAACCAATCATATAAAAATCTGGATCAAATAACTACCATAGAAGTGTAGGCATGAACTGGTACCAGTGTCATTGTAATACCTAGGATTTCAAAAGTTAGATTTAAAATAAATTAGTTAAATTGTCTCCGGTGTATTCCTCCTATGATTTAAATTTATTTTATAAGAGGTCAAATACAGTCGTGAAGGGAGCAAAGCTTTTTCAAGCTATTGGAGTAAAGGATAAGTGTAACTCTCCCATGTTTGCTGAGACAAATTCAGTTATTTATGGTCATGAAAAACAGACAAGGATGGTGTGATAACCAAAGTAATACATAAATTGTCCTTAACGAACGACACTTTGCGCTTCTCTTTAATGCTCTGTGTTTTTTTTTGTTTTGTTTTTTTTGCTTTACAACATAATTCCACCAGTTAAAATATGGCCAGGATTTAAACAGAGGTAGACAGATGAGTGTCAATACTGCTGTCAGGACACATTAAGCGGTGTGCCTTTGTTACATGTATGGTCCACAACAAGAACACTGGACTGACTCTTGCAAACTTTTAATCTTGATTACTATGTGAAACATTCAGGTGTGTTTTTTGGTGATAGGCCTAAGATTTGAAGCTACATTTTAATTTGAAGATATTTTTTGTCATGTAATTCCATTTAATGAATTCACTCAGAACAGTGATGATATTTATCACATGGTCCTAAACAATGTCCTTTAAGGGAAAATGTTTATCAAGAGAGGACAGAGAATGACTATTCTCCACTTTACTGAAAAATAAAAGTAAATGATAAAATTGTGAAGTCATTTACCAGATGTTTTCATCCACAGAAGGTGCATTTAGTGATGTGCAGCTCATGGGACAGAACAATCCTCGCACTGTTTGTCCTGAGCATGTGACTTTCTGTGACTCAACCTAAGGGGCTTAATGTGACTCACTGGTGAGAATAATTTGGTTGCAGTCATAAATATGCCGTAAGTATGTGCATCTGTACAAAATCGATTTGTAGTGCCTCTTAGAGCTAAAGCTAGAACTGGTGCTGTAACCATTAGGAGACATGACAATTAAATTTAATGTATTTTTATTGTGTACTCTTTTCAACTGTATGTTTTAAATTTAAATTAACAAGTAATGAAAGGCAGAGGATCAATTACTATTTAATAATCTGCTACATAATTTTGACATTCATTGGAATAATTGTTGGTTTACATGAAAATAATTAGGCTCAAACTTCTCTGGAGTCACAGCTTAGTGCCTGTCACTCCAGAGAGTCCCTTCTCCAACACTGCAATACTTTTGTAAGTACCGCAGTTTGCCTACAACTACAGCCCATGCCTACAAACACATAATTGTTCTAATAAATTGATCGATAAATAAATAAATACATTATTCCAAGAGATTGACATTTCTTGCAACTTTTTGCACCCACATCCTGGCTCCTTCCTACAGAGAAGGGCTTTTTGTTGCCCAGCAGTAGGTGTTCGTTTTGACTGTCACTTGGCTGGTGGGGAGGCAATATACTTTTCACAAATAACCACTGAATGGTGTTTGACTAATCTTCTAAAAAAAGTCATACATAGCTAAATTCTGGTATTCTTTATGCAAAACTAGAACTTTTTATTACTTCTAAAAAATGTTAGCAATTTAACTTAATGACAATTTCTTTTTATCGCATTTCTAAAAAGAAGATAAATTAAACTAAACACACAAATTTACAAAACAAAAATTTAAATAAATGTCAGAGATAAGTCAAAAAGTAACTAAGTGGAATAGTGCAAAGTGGTGGTACCTGTATCACAGTTAGTACTACCAGTGGGTGTTATAGGGTTAACGGTAAACGGTAAAACACCCAGTCCAGAACCTGGGAACATCGTCAGGGCCGCAGTCGTCCGGTTCAAATGGCGTCAGGAGAACACAAGTTATGACTTATTCAAAAAAAAAGGCAATTGCATGTAACACACACACACACTGTGGATCAAATCAGTCACCGCATGCACAAAAATGTTTTCCTTTTCAGGGAGGTAACTCGAGGCAGCCAGCCAAGTAACACAGTCGCACAGTAACACTTAATGAACTACAAAGCTCCGCAGGGTGAACCCTAACCCTCACCATCGCACATCCTCACTGGAAAAAACACTCACCGTCGAGCAGCCCAAAACACAAAACTAAAAGGACACTGCAAA